TTCCCTAAAATTGAATTCTGTCAAACACGAGATCTTGTAGTCGGCAGCAATTTTTTATACTTAAATGTAATTACTCATTTTTGTGAGACTAATGTGGAGAAAAAAATGGATCAGAGTAGGCAGATGCTGCTGTTATGCCCTCTTGCAAAGTATGCAAGTATTCTCACATACTACATCTCTATTACGTGAGAGAAATGATCTAATCTATTAATCGGACATAATTAAGAAGTATTTTGTGGACTATATAGTCTGCAGTGTTCAACTTGTAAGTTGATCTAATGCTCTAAATTGGGTGGGCAACAAAACGGGCTTAGCTCCTGGTGGGCTGACGCTGCTTCATTTACCTACATCTCCACAGGTACTGGTGATTGCAGCTCCCATTGGTCATGGATGGGACATCACTTCCTGTAGCTCCTGTTGGCTGATAACAATGATCCATGGCCAATGGGAACTTCAATCCCTTCCATCTGCAGAGATGCAGGTAAACACGGCTCTAAATTCACTTAAAATATATAGTTAGGTGTCTTAAATCTTAGTTAAATATAGGTTTGACTTTTACATTTTAAAGACTTTTTTAAACCTTAAAAGCAAAGACGTTTGCAAATAAAACTGAGATTATATATTTCTATGTACACTGGTATATGTGAAGATTTAAAGCTGTCATGCTTCTGTGGGTCTAAATTAAGTCTGTCCTTCAGGAGACAGGCTTACAAGACTTGTATTTAAGTTCACAATATTAAGCCCTATTTAGTATGGTATGCTTTTTTTAAGCTTAAATCTTATTGCAGTTAATGAGACTTAAGCAAATGTCAGTTTTCCCCTGAACAGGGATGGACTTAAACATTTGTTTGTGCTTTCCTGAATGGAGTCTTAGAATCTTTAGCTAACCTAACATAGCTTTTTCTCTTGAGCTGCTCCATGTTTGGTTTGGTTTGTTTTTCCTGTTGTATCCAAGTTGGGGAAGAATGCTATTTAATAGGAAGACTTTATTGATGGTCTGTCAAGAATGCAGAACCTCATGTGGCTACCTTGTAAGAAAAAGGAGAAAATAAGATCTAGTTTTGTCGAGTAATTTAAGATGAACTATGACTCCCTGACATACAACTTAACTATTTTCTGTAGGTGAAATCTCAGGAACTGTTTGATGAATGGGTAGCAAAACTGCGTCACCACAGAATGTATCGTCAAAATGAAATTGCCATGTTTCCACATGATGTTAATAATTTCTTCCCGGCATCCTCTACCACAGACACTGTATCCAGTGTGTTTGATTCTGTTTCAAGTAGAAAGGTAATGATGAGCTCTCATTGAGGATTAATTAACTTTATTTTTTTTCTGTCATTCTGTGTGTGGGTTTTTGTTTTGTTTGTTTTGTTTTTTTTAAAAAGCTATAATTCAGTTTTTGGTTGGGTAAAAGTTTGGTGTCAGATGTAAACTGTAAAATGGTCTAATGTGTAACTTTGCTTCTTGTCCAATTTTCTTTAGAATACTGTAAAGCTTTATCTTGACTTTTTTAAAATGTCCTTTTTTAAGTGTTTAACTTTTTCATGTTGATTAAACACTAGTGTGTCTAATATTGGAAAACTTGTGTTAATGGTTTCATAATAAGTATCTTTGGCACACATGAGTTTTGCTGTCAGAATGGGAAATACAATTGTAGATTTTTACTTTAAATTTAAACTTTGTCCACTCATACTACAGTGGTAAAAATGTGAGAGTTTAACTTTTAAAACTTAGATGCTTATAAAGGTATCTATAAGAACCACAGAACATTAGTAATTAGGCTTCGCCTTCTATTCTGGCATTGACAACTTCTGATGGGAGAAAAGAGCACCACTGCAGGGCCAAGAGAAGTGCAGGTCACCTCCTCTTAGGCCTAGCAATCAGATATGAGAGCCATCAAACTTCTGACCTGACTTATGCTTTTGGCCTTTAGGATATTGAGCCTAAACCTAACAAGGCCTCTTGAAGCACCTGAGAATCAATTACCAAAACGGTATTGGGAGGTAGAATAGTGATCGATATCATTCTGCTGATACCATTATTGGACCTAACCAAGTGAGTTATAAGATCAAGAACACACATTCCTGCGCATCCAGAAATATAATTTACGCAATCATGTGCCGAAAGTGTCTGTCTGCTATGTACATTGGACAAACATCTCAGACACTTCGCCAAAGGATTAATGCCCACAAAACAGATATCAGACAAGATCACAAAGAAAAAACAGTTTCTTGCCATTTTAACCAGAAAGGACACTCTCTCAATGACTTAACCACCTGCATTCTGCTACAAAGACCTTTTACATCTGCACTTGAAAGGGAATCCTCTGAACTGTCATTCATGTTAAAATTCGACACTCTCCGAGAAGGAATGAACAAACACTCAAACTATCTTACCCATTACCGTTGTTGTTAACGGTTCTAAATCCTGCTGGAAAGGGATAACAAGTGGAGTTCCTCAAGGGTCTGTTTTGGGACCCGTACTGTTCAATATCTTCATCAATGATGTAGATATTGGGATAGAGAGTACTCCTTTTCATATGTGTTCATTTTTTTTAATTGTATCCTTTGGTATATATGGTTGTGACTATTTTCTTCCACTACTTGATCTGAGGAAGTGGGTCTGGCCCACGAAAGCTCATCATCTAATAAACCATCTTGTTAGTCTTTAAAGTGCTACGTTGTCCTGCATTTTGTATTGGGAGGGTATGGGGAAAACATTAAACACAGATGATCAGTTTACTACACTGACCTAATACTTCAAAGTGTTGAAACTTTTTTAAATCTACTTTTCAGCAAACCGAGTTCTTGTTGATTTTCTTCTGTATTTGTCTTTCTGTTGCTGGTAGTTGCTAGTCAGCTCATTCCCTTCATGAACATTTTCACTGAAAATTTGATTGTGTGGTAGTAGATGGTTTTTCTTTGTTGGCTTATACACTTGTGACAACTTTGCATGTAATCTTCACCAGCTTCTGAACATAGTCTTCTGCATCTGGGTGCCATAATTCATCTTTACCACAATAATAGATTATCTTGTATTAACTATTCATTTCTGTTTCTTTTGGAACAGACAGGCAGCCTGACAAAACAGAATTCATTGCGAATTGGGAATAGCTTACAGTTTTCCTGTCCAAGTAGTGAGTCCAGGATTCCACCTTGGCTACAGTCTTCAGAGGATATGGAAAAATGCTCAAAAGGTAACATCTGAAGAAACTTGAAAATTAAATTATTGCAGGTTTCCTGAATATTACTGGAATTGACTGACTGTAAGGCAGGGGTGGGCAACAATTTTTTTTTGGGGGGGGGACACTCCAAGAATTTGGAAAGTGGTCGAGGGCCACACTCTTCCATGATATTAATGGAGGAGGTGCAGGGATCTGGGATGGAGGTTGGGTGCAGAAGGGAGCTTGGAGTAAGGGAGGGAGTTTGAGTGAAGGAGGCAGTTGTGACCTGGGGCACTGGGCTGGAGTTCAGGGGGTTGGATTGGAATGTAGGGCACAGAATTGGGACACAGGATGTGGTGAAGGGATTTGGGTTGTGAGCTAGGGCAAGAGGAGACTGTGACCTAGGGCAGGGGACTGAGGTGCCAGATCTGGGAAGGAATACGGGGGGGGGAGGGCGGAGGATTTGGTTATGTGGAGTGGGGGAGGCGGTGGGTTGAGGAAGGGCTGGGTCTGGCCAGGAGACTTACCAGCCAGCAGCCCATTCCTGAATCAGTTTCTCTGACAGCCAGTGTTCCCAGTAAGCTGCATGGCATCACAGGTGATTAATCAGCGCTGCCCAGTCAGTCAGATCCCTGCACAGAGCCCTGAACCTCTGACTGGGCGGGGCTGATTAATCACCTGTGACGCTGGGCTGCCATGCAGCTTAGTGGGACTACTTCTGCCTGGCCTGCCCCATGCAAAGACTGCAGCCCCTTGTGCTTTGTGGCTGCCTGTTGTCGAAATGGGTGGCTCCCATTGGCCAGTTTCTGGCCAGAAACCAGACAATGGCATTATGCTGGGAACAGGAGCAACTCCTAAAGCTGCCCCCCTCCTCCAGACTCAGTTTTTAAAGACGTGTTTCTGAGCAGCGTGTGGGTGGGGCAGCGCAAGCAGGAAGCCTGGTATAAGGGCTGTTCTGCTAGTGTTTACCACTGAAAATGATGGTACTGTAGTAACTTTTTTTTAAAATGAATTATGTCCACTTTTTATAGTGATAGTAATTTCCATGTACTTCCAGTTTTGGATAACCAACATGAAACTTTATAAAGAATTTTTTTTCCAGGAAAATTTTGGGCATCAGTCTTCTGACAAACAGGCTTTGAAGTGCCTCAAAGTAAGCACCTACACTTTGAAGCACCCAAAATAACTAGAACAAAAAACAGGTCTATGTAGCATTTTAAAGACTAACAAGATTGTTTATTAGGTGATGAGCTTTCATGGGCCAGACCCACTTCCTCAGACGTGGTCTGGCCTACGAAAGCTCATCACCAGATAAACCATCTTGTTAGTCTTTAAAGTGCTACATAGTCCTGTTCTTTGTTCCAGCTACACCAGACTAACACGGCTACATTTCTACCAAAATAACTAGTAATTTTTGAAAGTTTGGCCCTTAGTGGACATCACAAGTGCTAGTCATATTTACAGACCAAGAGCTTGAGGTTCTGTAGAAGTTATTTCCCTGTAGAATAGGATATAGCATAAACAAACAGCAGTGTAAACTCCCCCTATCAATATGCCTCTACCTTGACCCAAAGAAACTCCATTCTAGGGAAAATAGTATGGTCTCCGAGGCAGAGGCGTAGTGAGGGGGGGCAGGGAGGGGCAGTTGCCCCCGGACGCCACTCAAGGGGGGGCGCTGGGCCGGGGTGGGAGTAGAGCGCGCACCGCGCAGGCCTACCTGACACTTAGATCAGTGAGCCGGCAAACACACTGGGAGGAGGGGCAGACGGCAGGAGCAGCCTCTTTTAAAAGTAAGATTAACTTGCCTGATTGGTTCTGCCGGTGCCTGGGTCTGAGGGAGGGAGATTTGGTTGGGGGAGGCACTGGGGGTGCCTGGCTCTGGCATCAGCTAGTAGAAAGCCTGCCAGTCTCCAGCGGCAGCCCCTGGTCTGGCAGGCCAGGGCCAGGGGGCACGGAGCAGGGAGTGGGGGGCCAGAGGCGTGTAAAGGCAGGCAATGGCAGGAGAAGAGCACAAGTAGAGGGTGGGTCTTAGGAGGAAGAGGTAGCTCAGGAGCATTTTGCGGGGGTGGAACAGTGTGTGGGTGGGGCCTTGGGGCAAGAACAGCAGGGTGGGGGATCATTGGTCTGGATACTTGTACCCCCCAACTCCACTTTTTGGGCACTTCTGTGATTCTGGGCTAGGAGAACCGGGCCTGCCCCGGAGCAGTGCCCAGGCAAGGCAAGGGACAGCCCATGTTAAGGACCCAGAGTAAAGTGGTGGCTTGGCTGGCAGGGAAGTGAGAAGAGCTTTGTCATTTGTGAACTCCACCCGCAAGTGCTGGGAACTGGGGCGTGGGGAGCCTCATTCCCCATACGCTCAATTTGCCAGTAACCCGGCACCCAGTTCCCTGCCCACTGACTCTTAGCCATTCACCCACCTGTCACTGGACCACCTCATGTGACTTCATACCGACACAAAGTGCTGTCAAGCAATTGATGGCACCATCTGCCCACTGGAACAGTACCACGCCCACATGACCAAGGCTAATCCTCGCCAGCCTTCGCTCCACCCATTGGCAGCACTCAGAAGGCTTTCCCAAGTAGGCCAGCATTATTCCCATTTTACAGCTGGGGAAACTGAGGCACAGTGGGGCCTGTGACATGCCTGAGGTCACCTACCAGGCTGGACTAGAAGCTCAGTTTCCAGTGCTTTAGGAGCTGTCTACACGGGTAGCAAAGATGTGACCGCAGCCCAGAATAACCTGGCGCGCTGCAATCTGACTAAGGTGGGGAACAACCGCGGGGTGGTGGGGCTTCAGCAATCATGCCCTGACTAGCTCATACTGCGATCAAGCCTCCCCTGCTCAAAGGAGACAGTTCTAGGAACTGCCCGCCAGCCCACGGTGCAGCCCAACTAATGGCAGCGAGGGGCAGAGACTGATATCCGGCAGCCATCTCCTGCCCCCACTTCTCCCATCTGCTCAGCCCCTCCCCCAGGCTTGCTGAGCCCTGTGGGGCTAGCTTTGGACTTAAAATCATAGAACTGGAAGAGAACTTAGAAGGCCATCAAGTCCAGCCCCCTGTCCAAGGCAGGACCAATCCCAATTAAATCAACCCAGCCAGGGCTTTGTCAAGCCAAGACTTAAACACCTCTAGGCATGGAGATTCCACTACTTCTCTAGGTAACCCATTCCAGTGCTTCACCACTCTCCTAATGAAATAGTTTTTCCTAATATCCAACCTGGACCTTTCCCACTGCAACTTGAGACCATTGCTCCTTGTTCTGCCATCTGTCACTACTGTGAACAGCCTTTCTCCAGCCTCTTTGGAACCTCCCTTCAGGAGGTTCACTCCCCTCATGCCACAACACCTGCCTAGAGGCACCACAGGGCCCGGCCCCTGGGGGACCTTTCCCACTGCAACTTGAGACCATTGCTCCTTGTTCTGCCATCTGTCACTACTGTGAACAGCCTTTCTCCAGCCTCTTTGGAACCTCCCTTCAGGAGGTTCACTCCCCTCATGCCACAACACCTGCCTAGAGGCACCACAGGGTCCAGCCCCTGGGACCCCACAGTGTGGGAGAGAACAGGGCCTGACCTGACCCCCAGTTCAAGGGATCCACTTGAGGGAGGGGCCTGGCACCAAAATCTCACTGGTGCACAGGAGGATACAGGGCCTCTATAGGTTTGGGTTTGTGGGGAGCAACACACGCCTGGTGGGTGGGAGCCAAAACAAAAAAGTAGTCTGTGTAATGGTCTTCTGTTGAGATGCATTTTAGTAGTTAAATTCTTGGACTGTCATTGCTTGTAAAAAGTGCCATCACGTGGGTGGAAATCAGGTAAATGTTGCATTTTATTAAATATCAACAGAACTGACTTAAATGGGGCCTGTGTGGTGTGTAGTCTTGCCTTAATCTTTGTATTCATGCCTGTCAGTGTGAGAGAAGCTATTTGTATATATTTGCATGTAGATGCAACCACACTTAAGTTGAGGCCCTCAGCATGTGCTGTGAGTATCAGTGTGTCCCCCCGGGGCTTCCAAAGTTGTTGCCCTAGCTCATCCCTGACGGGTATCTGTCTAACCTGCTCTTAAATATCTCCAGTGATGGAGGTTCCGCAATCTCCCTAGGCAATTTATTCCAGTGATTAACCTCCCTGACAGACAGGAAGTTTTTCCTGATGTTCATTCTAAACCTCCCTTGCTTCAATTTAAGCCCATTGCTTCTCATCCTATCCTCAGAGGCCAAGGAGAACCATTTTTCTTCCTCCTCCTCATTACACACTTTTAGATACTTGAAAGCTGCTCTCAGTCCTTTTTCAGTCTTCTCTTTTTTCCAAGCTAAACAAGTCCAGTTCCTTCAGCCTTGCCTCATAGCTAATGTTCTCTAGACCTTTCATCACTTGTGTTGCTCTTCTCTGGACTTTCTCCAGTTTCTCCACATCTTTCCTGAAATGTGGCACCCAGAACTGGACACAATAGTCCAGCGGGGGCCTAATGTGGATGACTCATTCCTTGCGCAGGGGTCGTGAGACTGGATGGGTTAATTTCCAATCCTTTTGTTTATTCTTTTCCTAAGCCAGGAAGGCACAGTGGTTCTAATGGGGGCTCTGCAGGCAGGCAGCGTGCACTGCCCCCTGCCCGAAACCCCTTGTGCAAGTGTTAAACTGTCCAGCTCACCCCAGAGGTGACTGCATATCAGCATTCCTGAAGCAACACAGCACCAGCAATGGACAGGGGAATGGCTCCCGGGCATGGTTTGCTCATGACTGCTTCAGTCCCTTTCCTTCCCCTCCCCTGCTTTGCAATGGGGCTGTAGACTCTGAATGAGCAGGGTGGAGGCAGGCAGAGGTGTCTCCCTGCAGCAGATGTAGACACGTCTCTGTATTAACTTCTCTCACTGAAGTTTTTAGCTTTGTAGTGAGTCCTTTTACATGGAAACTTTGCATTACATCTTGGTAGAATAGTCCCTAAAACAAGCGAGAGACCCTGTTTCTGTAGGGTGAATGAGGTGGGAATGGATAAGGCAGAAGGTGAGCACCTCTAGGCAGTTGCAAGGGTTGGAGAGGGGATGGAAGCCAGATCCAAGACCAATGAGCCCTGGGAAGTGGGCCCATTGAAAGGAGACTGGACCTGTGGACACCTTGGGGATCAGCAGAAAGGGCCTGCTTTGGGAAGACTACTCTTTGGACAGCATTGAGACATCCCACAGAAGCAGGTGCCACAGACATTAACTGCAGATTCATGGGGTGGCTCACAGATCTTGCACATGCATAAGATGATAGACCTGCAGAAGTGGGGGAGCAGTGGCATAGCGTGGGGGCCAGAGGGGGGACCAGAGGGGTAAGTTGCCCCTGGGCACCATTGCTAGAGAGGTGCCAATTTAATCCCATTCTGCTCCCCCTGTCCTCCCTCAGCTCGCCTGCTCCTACTCTGCCTGCCGCCGGCAGCTGGAGCCTCCTCCCCACCTCTCTGCTCCTAGCCCGACCCTCCTCCATCTCCACCGGCGGGTTAGTGCATGCGGGAGCCTGGCCCCAAACTGGAGGTGGTGGGGGAAGATGCGGTACAAGTTCCCCTCCTCCTCTCCTCCCAGGGTCAGGCTCAGCTGTGTGCCAGATTCGGGGCTCTGCCACATGGGGGCGGGGGTGCACAAATTTTTCCTTTGCCCCGGGCACAAACACCCACATTGCACCTCTGCTCCAAGCCTGACATGACACTGCTCTCTCCACAAAGGGGTTGACCGTGCCAGACTGTGGTAACAATCTTTGTGCTGTTGGCACCAATCTGCTACTAGGCTGGAAAAAGTAAGAAGTGAAGCAAAATTTGACTTCAGCTGTATGTAAAAAAATTGCCTTCTGTGTCCACACTTCGTGAAAATGTTTTCTCTTTTCAAAACAGATCTCTCGTGTTGTCACACATATTTAATGGAAATGAACCAGCTGTTACAGAGCATGGAAGTTCTCCATAGGACATGTTCAGCACCTGCTATAAATGCTATGCAGGTCAGCTGTGAAAATTATTATTTCATGGAGGTGGGGGGCTGTAAGATGTTGATTCTTCTTATCAGTAATGTTTTATGGCACCCACCATTGTTGTTGTTCCCTCTGTTGTTAAAAGGGTGGAACTTTTGAAAGTCCAAAAAAAGAAAAAAGAACACAGAGGAGGTGGCGTTCTAGAGTTATTGGTAAAGATGCCAAAGGAACCTTGCAGGTAACTGGAACAGTCTTTTTCCTCTCTCAGCCCAGCTTTCTCAAAATGTTAACTTGCTTATTGACCCTTTCTTGTTCTGGCATTTCTAAGGAAATCCGAATCCCTCTAAATCAAGCTATATGTAAGATTAGACTTCAGTGTCCTGGTACTTACATGACTCATTGAGCAAAATCCTGGCTTCTTTGATACCCATAGCAAAATTCACCTTGATTTTGAAGTGTCCAAGATAGATTTCACACACAGTCTCAACCTAGCCTCCATTTCTGGTTCAGAAAAATTGCAAATCTAACAGCACTATTTAACTGTTTATAAAATGCTTCCACAAATCATGTTATTGGATAGTTACAAGTTTAAATGATGATGCAACACTCTTCAGACTAAAACCAATGTTTCTGCTAAATTTTTGCCAAATCTCCAAGTTTGAAACCTTTGAGCATGGGGTCTCCTTTTTTTGGGGGGGGGGGAAGGGAGGTCATATGTATTATCCAAGTAAAAACATTATTGATCAACAGCTGTTCCTCCCATGCTGTTGTCTGATTGTACAATGTCTGCAATGCAAATGTAAAACTTTTACTTGTTATATTTTACCAATTGTAAATGTTCTCCTTCTAGGTACCTACAGTATTTTCTGCCCCCATGAGACTGCATGCTTCCAATCCAAATTTATCTACAATAGATTTTGGGGAAGAAAAAAATTACTCCGATGGCTCTGAAACATCAGAATTTTCTAAAATGCAAGAAGATTTGTGTCAAATCGCACAGAAAGGTAAGTGAGATTTTGCGTGTTTCAGCTAAAATAAGAGTGGGATATCTGAGGCTGGCTTGTGTAAAAATTAAGGTCTGGATAACTTCACATCCTATCCCCCTGCTTCCAAAGGTGTAGCAGGCGCTGAAATGCTGTGGACTCAGGTCATTAAAATAGTAGCATAGCATTCAAATTATTTTCTTCAAAACTTCAGATTTAGAACCAGAATACACTCTGAGCCCTGTCCAAGTCCAGAAACCTTGTGCTGTTACAAAACTTGTATACACATCCAATCCGTGGATATCTGCAGGGTTCTACACCTATATAAATTCACACTCGTTTTAGGTATACCTTTAAAAAAATTTTTGTTTAAAGGGAAATTGAACTGCTTTCCAAGGTGTCTCTTCAAGGACAGATCCTCATCAAACCTTGTGACCTCAGGATAAGCCAATTTAAATGGAATTTGTTGCAATTGTCACTCCCTGTTGAATGATGGTAACCTGCATTTCCCCTCTTCTTCCCCCCTCCCCCCGCCCAATTGTGATTATACATACAGTAGATTCTCTTATCCTGGAAACAAGCAGTTGTCCTAAAATCAGTTCCTATAAAGGGGGGTGGGTGGGTGTGTGTGTGTGTGTGTGTGTGTACACGCGTGTGTACGCACGCACGCACACTCTTTTGCTATCGTGCTCACACAGTATGCACTCAGGATAGTCCACAGTATCTCAGAGCTAACATTTGTTTGTGATGCAAGGGTTGCTATGGGAGTAGCCTATTTTTAGTGAATACAGAAAAATAAAATCTCATGGTAAGCAGCCAGAGGGCTAGCTCAAGCTGCCACTGAGCAGCCTTCTCTGCAAACACTCTTCCATAGCTATACTCTGATAACATGAAAGAGCCTGTCTACTGTCATGCTCTAGCACAGTGTTTCTTAAACTTTTTAAGACAGAGGAACACCAAACAGTAATAATTTTTTTTTATGGGAAACACCAAGGATTTTTTGTTGAGCAAAACAAAAAAAGGGTCAGGGGAGTTTTTTTTGCTCAATAAGTCACCTGCCCCTTTCAGGGTGGCCATTTTGAATTCTGTTCTCTTCGGCACACCTCCAACTGCCTCGCGGCACACACAGTTTAAGAAACACTGCTCCAGCAGTATCTTTTTATTTGGGATCTGGGGCAGTGAGGAGAGTCCTTGTAAATATCATGCAGGTTTTTATGAGCAGGAAATAACTTTTTTTTAAAGGGTTCCACTATTACATCTCACAAGTCATTTTTCCTTGGCTAGGTGGTGGTATTATAAAAATTTATTTGTTTTTTCCCCTGTGATGGTGGTAGTGGTTTAGATACTGTACTGACATAAGAACTCACCACTGAGCTTTACAAAATTAAATGGTGCCAAAATAAGATACTTTATTTTTACAAAAAAGTAGCACTAAAGTTGTTTCAGGGATCATCTTCTTTGAGATGTTTCTCCCACAATTTAGCACACAGAACATTTGTCATAATAAATAAGGCCCTACTTAATCTGCAACTTCCACTGCATTGTGAATCTCACAGTACAGGCAGTCCCCGGGTTACGTACAAGATAGAGACTGTAGGTTTGTTCTTAAGTTGAATTTGTATGTAAGTCGGAACTGGCGTCCAGATTCAGCCGCTGCTGAAACTGACCAGCGGCTGACTACAGGAAGCCCGAGGCAGAGTTGCTCTGCCCTGGGCTTCCTGGAATCAGCCGCTGATCAGTTTCAACAGCCTCACAGTACAGGCAGTCCCCGGGTTACGTACAAGATAGAGACTGTAGGTTTGTTCTTAAGTTGAATTTGTATGTAAGTCGGAACTGGCGTCCAGATTCAGCCGCTGCTGAAACTGACCAGCGGCTGACTACAGGAAGCCCGAGGCAGAGTTGCTCTGCCCTGGGCTTCCTGGAATCAGCCGCTGATCAGTTTCAACAGCGGCTGAATCTGGGCGCCCGGGGCCAGGGCGGCGGGGGGCGGGGGCTTCCTGGAATCAGCCCCGATCAGTTTCAGCAGTGGCAGACTTGGGGACACCTGGGGCAGAGCAGCTGAGGTGCTGCCAGGTTGGTCCAGTAGTGCCGAGGAGCAGCGCTGTGGGACCAACCCGGCAGTGCCCCAGCTGCTCTACCCCAGGCATCGTCGGTGAGAAAAGCGGGTGGCGGGAGACGAGGAGACCAGGGAGACGCGGGTGGCAGGACCGCTGAGATGCACCGCGGTCCCGCCCGCATCCTCCGCGGCTTTGCTCTTTGTCTCCCTAGTCTGCTGGGGGCCCCCCAAAAGACCAGGGAGATGAGGAGCAAAGACTTAGAGGACGCGTAACTCGGGGACTGCCTGTATTGGGCTTCTACCACAGTTTTGTCAGCCAGGTGGCTGAGGGCAGGAACCCTGTCTAGCCCAGACATCTGATAGCCAGGGCCCCTCTTGTCAGTCCAGGCATTGTCTATAATGTCTTTTCAGCAAAAGGTGTGGCTATCCAAAAAAGGGGAGGGGGGCCATAGCATAACTTGGAGGTTTATTTTGTTCCAACAAATATTTCTTAAATAGATCTCCTCCACTTTCTACAAATTGCCACAATTAATAAAGATCCATTATTACTTTATTTTTTTCCTTTGTTTTGTCCAAACCTCAGCAGCAATGATTTTACTATCATCCATGATTTAAGTAGTAATCGTGTCTCCTAGTAAAAATCCAGGTTTTAACCTGGCCTGTCTTTAGTGCTCTGTCCCAACAAGTCTTGTTTCTGTCACTGTATATTAAGCTACATTGATATGTTGTTTCCAATCTTGCTGTACAACTGGGACTTTTCCTAACTGTCTGCTTTTTTTTTTAATTTGTTTAGCTTACTTCACCTTAAAGTCGGCTTTTAGTACAATCTCAGTTGAGAGAGAGAAACTTAAGCAGCTGCTGGAACATGATGCAGCCTCATCTCCATCTGCACAAATAGCTGGATTGAAGAATGCCTTATCATCCGTAAGTAATGTAACGTTGAGCTCTGAGATTCAGAAGGATTCGTTATAACAATTCATAAGATCTCTTTATACTTCTGTCTTTTGGGTTATATTTGTATCTTATTAATACTAAAGCAAAGTAAACTATGCATTTGGTGTTTCATATAATCCACTTATTCCATACTTTGGAGGTGTGCCAGGGCTCCATGAATCAACAGGACATTACTGTGGTGAATTAATCTATCAGTTGTGTATTTTATTAAGTACTGTATTGGAAACGTTTTGTTGAGTCAGAGGTGGTGTTTGACTGAGATCCAGAGTTACTTTTTCTGTAATTTGGTGTTTCATATTATACTAATAATGCATATGGCTGTTGGGAACTGCATGACCTGATTGATGATAGATTTGAAATTATGCATAATCATAGCTGTGAAATTATGAATCCGAATAGCTTTATAAACAAAACAGAGAGCAGACACTCTTATTTTAAAATTTCTATTTTAATTTATCACAAAGGGGTGAGGAGATTTGTATTCTAGCAATCAGGCATTCCACAATGTGCTTTGGCCTAAAATCATTTTAGGTGGCTGAAAGCCTTTGGGCTGCCCTTTTTTAAATGAACTGAAATGCATCTAAAAGCAGTAGTTCTGCTTTCACAAGTATTGTTTATATTTTTTGCATTGATCAAATTTCTTAACTGGATTCTGGTGAAGACCGCTATAAATCAAAAAAAGACTTCTATGAAACACAATTCCTGGACTGGCACTAGTCTAGTCTCAAGTCCATTTGAGATTGATTTGGAGGTTTCCATTCCCAAGATTATTGATCAAATTCCTCAGATTCACTGTGGTTTATCTTCAGAGAAGGGATTGTAGTCCATTGCCACCATTTTGTAGATCTTGCATTTTTCTGGCTGGAGACAATGGTGAACTGATAGAAGTAGGTGCACAGCTACAGTTAGCATAGGTGATAACTACCATTTGCTTGCCAAAATCTCTGTTTATGGAAAGAGTTTTAGCTCCTAGCATTTCCACCAGTCCAACTTCGAGCTGCTTCCTCTTGGCACAGAAAACAGGAGGTAACTGAAGCTTCTTGCTTATCAGCTATGTCCATCTGACCATACCTTTCTGTTTGGCTTTTGTAAGGCCTGCTTCACAGCTGTACAACTGCCATTTTCTAAAGCTATTTTCTTACTACTTTTAAATCTGTAAGGGAAAATGCTTAGTGTAGTCTCTGTGCACAGTGTAACCAGTCAGTTGTGTGTAACCTTTTCCCAAAAGGCTAAATATTGATATTCACATGTTTGTTTCCTCTTGAATTCCCCATGAATCACGCTGCCAACACTAATTTCATGCTGTTACATGATAGAGCTGAAAAAGAGAACATACCAAAGAGTGTGTTCTGTCTGAAGCGCCACACTCCTCAGCTCAGACACCACTGAGAGACCTTCTTAGCCTGGAAAGCCACAGAAAGCAGTGGTGCCACTTGCAGTAATGTGATCATCCCATGCTGCAGGGAATATTCAGGAAGAAGCCAAGAGCTTTCTTTGCAGGCATCTCCAAGGCTGGACATACAGCAAGAGTGCAACATTTATGATCTAAGTACCAAATTCTTCCTAACTAAGACCTGCTTTCTTTTAAAGAGAACTCCAGCCTGCAGTCCTTACCAAGTTGTTTAAAGTCATTTCTGTACAGCCTGGCCCTGAGCTAAGTGCTCAGAGTAGTAGGCTCTGAAGGTGATCGGACAGATGTAAAGAGGAAATATCACTACTCTCCAGGCTCTGGGGGAGAGGGAGGCTAAAAGGCAAACTCACTTCTACCTTAAACCATATAAAATGCATTCGGCTCACAAATAAAAGGTGCTCTTTTCTGCTGAGAAGGCTGTAATCCTGTCCTTCGCAAACAGACCAAGAAGAGCAAATAAAGAAAAAAAATCCCTCTTCTCTGTTGAATACTAGAAGAACATTTTGCCTCAAACCCTGAGAATCAGGAATGAGGAATTCTAGAAAGTGTCAGTTCTTTTTCTTCCCCTCTCTATTGCTTATGTGACATGGTGCAGACTAGAGATAGCCAGTGCTGTATGTTCAGCCAGTTGGAAGGGGAAATATTAACTGAAATTCAAACTTGATGCTTCTTGATGGTGTATGTATTGTTCTCCTTGCTCTGTCGTGTCCCCTCCCTCCCACCATTATCAATCTGGGAAGGAATTTCTTGGGGGATAGAAAGAGAGGTGAGTAAACAAGGGAGGCTTCTGAAATCCAGCAACAAATTAAAAAAATCTGGGCCAGATCCTGGTAGAAGGCTCCGTGATGATGGCTTCCACAGCTTGGGCCATGGTGCTTCCTTGACAAGGTGATTTTTTTTTTCTTGCTAGTAAATACAAACAATAACTGAAGAGATGCTTTTTAAGGACTTGGAGGCCTTCATCAAGGACTGACATCTGCTTGCTTTGCAAGAGTGATGGTTGTACTGGTGCAATCATCTCAAGAATACCTATTGTCAAACCAGAGGATTTTTTTTGTCCAGTGCCAATGTCCACATTTCTCATAAGGCACTAAATATATTCTGTGTGTTTCACTCCCAGGCCTGTGGTCTGAAAAATACTGGCTAGGAGGCTACTATGACTGAGACCCTGAACATCAGAGATTCACTCAAAAAGAAAATCATTATTCCTGTAAGTTTGCTGCTGGAAGGCTGTTGGGTGGATAGTCATTTCCATAATGAGGCTGTCAGGAATACATCTGCACCTGTTCCTAGAGGAGATACCAAATAGAGCCAGCTATCGCCAGGAAACACTGGAGACAGTGTTGGCAGGGAATATAGAAACATGCAAATGACCCTTGTCAAATTATTCTAAAAGCCAGAGGAAATATTTCAAATCCAGTTATAGAAAGCAGCCACTTGGCTGTAGTCCTAGCAGAGATTCCCCCTGGAGATATTTGGTATCCAATAATGAAGGTCCTGGAACAAGAACACTGGAGGCTGACCCTCTCTTTTCCCTTTCCTCCTCCTGACAATAAAATGTTGCACAGCAACCAGAGGTTATGACAGAAGCTGAACACAGAGCTGATGGGATTTCTTTTCTTTGTGATCCAGCTAGACAGCTTCAACAATAAACTCATGAGATTTGTAGCAAGGATATGTGCAAGACCCAGCGTGTCCAACCAGTTCTGAAGTAGTAGCTGCTATAGTGGCTATTGCTATAGCGAACTAGCCACATTATTCTGAAATAATGAATAATTGTTCAAGCCAGCTAGCGGCACTCAACCAGCCATGTGGCTAGTACAGGGGTCGGTAATCTATGGCTCACGAGCCAAATATGACTCACTAGGGAGCAATATATGGCTGTTTTGAAGCTCAAGTTCAGTGTCCCCCTTGTTCCCTCCACAGCAGAGAGCCCGTGCTAGCGCTATGGCCTCGCATGCCCCTACAAAATTAGAGCACCAATGCTGGCTTTCTGTGGGGGGAAGGAGGGTAAAGCCAGCACAACCTGTTCCTGCCCCCTCCCTCCTGGCCAGACATCTTACTTCCAGCCTGCTCTTGTACCTCACCTCCTTTCCAGACCTTGTACCTTTATTCCCTTCTGCACCACACTTCTGCTCCAGATCCTGAACCCCTATCCCACTCGCTGGCAGCCCTGTCCTTCACTTAACCCCTCATCTTTGGCCCCATTCCAGAGCCTAGGGGCCCCCACACATTCCACTAACTCGAACTCCAGAAGAGAAAATATGGCCTGAGGGCTTGAACCTCCCTTCCCCCACCCTTCCTTCCAGCATGGGGCTGAAAGACCAGGGGAGTGTGGTGTTTCAGTGAGGGTTGAGGGTTTTTTGTTGTTCCTTCTCATTTATGTGGTCCCCAATTGTTTTTGTTTTTTCCTGTGGGTCAGTGGCCCCCTATCCAGAAAAGGTTCCTCACCTGAGCCATAAATAAAGTTGAAACCTTTTGTTTTGGACATAATTTTTAAAATAAAATATTAAGCCTGGCCAACATGCCCCCAACTGAGGCCTAGCCCCCATCTGACTGCAGTTTCATAACCTTCCTGCATCCCTCCCCACACACCCCAAACCTGTGCCCTGAGCCTATCATACACCTGAACCCCCTGCCCTGAGTCCCATACCCTCACATCCCCAGACTCCTGCATCCTCATATCCCCAGTCCCCTGCCATAAGTTTGACAGGAGACCACCTGAATGCGTGCATGAAGGTGGATTTGACAGTTACAGTTTAAACTGCAAAGAAATATGCAAAAGGATGCAGCAGCAGAAGCCCCATTAAATAGTGAGAGTACGGTTTCATTTATGTTTCTATTAATCATTGTCAATGATTAAGTTTGTATATGTTCAGTCATGCAATGGGCGTTTTTATATGCCTTTAACCACTTGTTCTGAGTTTCAATGTAGTTTGGCTCTTTGGTTTGAAAAGTTGCCAACCCCTGGGCTAGCGTGTTGGACACCATGGCGCTAGACCTATTCTTAGCTCCTTCACTCAGCCCTGGCAAACCTTCCAGAAGATAGATGGCCTCTGTTCCACGCAGAGCCACCAAATACCTCTGATCAGAAGAATCTCCTGGGAAAGTGTTATACTGATCCCCAAATACTATATTTAAATGGATAAAGGAATCCACTTTCAAAATGGGAAACTTCAAGATCAGCAGTAACTGCAAAATCACCTTGCTCCAGGAGACCTGGCAGAAGGATTTCCAGCTTTCCAATCTCATTGATTATGGGATTCTTTGATTCTCATACAGATCAGACTGGTACAAAACCCAAAATATATTCATGAAGTTACTGAGGGGCAGCAGTCAGTACTTAATTTGTGCCAGAGCCTAGATCTGGCACCTCTGGGCCAGCTGAATCAGTTGTATTAAAAAATGGAGAGTCCCCACTACCTCTAATTACAAATTTTAAGCACGTGGGACAGTTGTCATTAGGTTGTCAGCCCCTCTCCCTCTCTTCTCTATCAGTTCTAGGAAAAAACAAATCTTAAGGTATCCAGGGAATTGATTTTTTTAATAGGAGTATTGTATAATCACAAACAAAGGACACTAAGACTATCCAGCCTTGGAATGGAAATGGGTATCACAGAAGGCTGCTTAATAATTACAGACCTTTCTGGGGAATGGTGTTATGACTCATCTGTCATGCCCACTTGGATAAAATGTGACTTCTACAATGTAATCTCTTTTTTTTTTTTTTTTTCTTTTTTTTTTTTTGAGGGATCATTAGGGGAACATGAGTCTTATAGTTAGCTATCTAAATGTTGTCTCTGCAGTTTGAGAGTGTATTGTCAAGTTATCAAGTGTATTAATGAAGTTGTTTAAAAAACAACTTCATTAGGAGTAAAGCCAATAACATGGCTGCTCTGGGGATGACTTTTAGGAAGCTTTTTGTGTCGTAAGTTCAGCTTCAGAAGCACTCGTCTGGGAACTAAATAGGTGTATGGCCAGAAAGATGTGGCTGCGAGGTATTAAGTTGCAAGAGCATCCAGTTTCTGCAGTGAAAGCACATGCTCAGAAATCAGGACTAATGCTCTGTTACCAGAAGGGTAAACTATCAAGAAGGAAATGTTTCATAGTGCCTCTGCCAAGTGCCAACCTTCCAGTGTGTTTTTTTTCCAAAAATTCACAGCCTGTCTTGTTTATGAAATGGTGAGGGAATACTTGTCAGGGTCTCAGGCATTGAGGGGGGGTGTTTTGTTTTTGTTTTGGAGACATCCTGACTAGAACAAGTGAACTCACCTCCCCTTCCTCTTTACTTCAGTATTTTAAAATTACCAAATCATGTTTGAATGCACAACTAAAAAACCCATTTTATACAGCATCATTATTGCTATTTTCTTTAGATCTCTCTGGATAGTCATCACCTTTATAACGATATATCTTATTTCTGAAGAGATGTTTGCTTCTGAAATAGAGTATAGAAAGGGACATTCCGTTATCACTATTATTGAGAAATGCGTTTGTTTGTTTTTTAAACATGTTAATATACATACTATGCATAAAAAAATATACATAATTTTCAAATGTTTGGTAATTGAATGTAACAGTCACAATATATTTCTCTGTTTGGGGAAGACAGAGCTACTCATCTACGCTTCATAACCCTGTTTGATCTTGCACAAACTATATGGTATTTAAGATATGAAAAGTGCCTTTCCTCATTTTCTCTTCTGTTCCCCAGTTTTCCAGCCACACTGCCAATTGAACTGTTCCTCTATCGCTAGTGTTCTTTCTTGGAGAAAATGTGGTTGGCCTCTCTTGCATAAGAGCTGTACTCTGCTTGCTCCATCCTTGCCCAAGTGGCATAGTTTTTATAACCCACAGGTTCAGCTGCAGCAGAAGAAAAATTGGGGGCATGTTTATAGGAGTAAAGCCAATAATATGGCTGCTCTAGGGATGACCTTTAGGAAGTGCCAGTAGTCAGGATTCATTGCCAATGATGCAGTGGCTGAAAGGAAAAACTGTTTCTAGGTGCACAACTTTATTGTTCTAGGGAAAACAGTTTGTGTTAACAGTGCGTGATTAAAGCCGGTAGGTTGTAAAAGGGGATGAAGGAAGAGACCTCGAAAGGAAAAATAACCCATACAATAACATCTAAACTTTAAAAAAAATTACAGAATCTAGTAGCCTTAAGATTTCCCATCTCTCCATTCTGTTTGTTTGAAGTCTCCCTTTCCTCCTTGATGCCACTTCATCACTTAGTCCCTTCTCCCCATCCCTCTTCTTTCCCGTCCCGTGCAACTACTCATGTTTGAGACAGAGAAGGAGCAATGTCTGAAGCATTTGTGATATATTAAATGCAGGATCAGTAACAGGTCGTGTATCTAGTGACTGTTTTCCTGCTTCATTTAAAATGTTCTTCTGTCCTTTTTGCACAATGAAGCCACCATCTACATTAGCTGAGAACTTTATAGCCCCAATATTTTTTTGTTAAATGTTTCCAGGCCATAGCACAAAACACAGATCTTAAAGACCGGTTACGCAGAATACATGCAGAGTCTATGCTTGATTCAGCAGCTAATGTGAAATCAAGTCCTGATTTGGTGAAGGTGGGTATAGCTCTTCTGCTTCAGTAGTGTCTGTTACTGCAAACTTTCCCATTTATATTGTGTCTAGCTGTATACTGTCCTGTCTCTGTGTTCCCCGCACAGTGAGTTGTATAAGCAAAAGTTGCTCCTCTTCTCTCATGCTTGTGGCTCACGTGATGTTGCATTGTGCAGTGTTAACTTGGAAGATATGCTGTAAGATAGTTTTTCCTAAACACTTCCATTGCTTTATTTGCTGTCAGGTCATTTGTTCTCCTGCTTTTACTTCCCCTTGGCCTTAGACATGAGCAAAGTCACCACATCATTCTGGGCATTATTTTCTCTCATCTTCCCTAGTTGCTACAGTTACCTGTATAGCAGCTTTAACAAAGAACCCCAATAATTGAAGGGGAAGAGTTACCTTACTGTAAAAATACATTAAGTATTGTACTTCGGGTGTCTCTTGTTCTACTGAATTTGGTTTGACTCCTTGTTAATACAGAGCATCAGCTGCCAGGGTGTTTTAAGAGGGGGTTATATATTAGATAAGTGTGCAAAAAATGGGTCGTCATTCAAAAAATGAAGACAGGCAATGAAAAAATGAGGGGAGCATATAAGAGCCACTTTAGTTTTCCTTGTATGTAGTTGGGATGTCCTCTACATGTCTCAGCTGTTACTTACAAATGATGGGGATGGGGAGAGAATAAAAACTGAATCTCATAGTAGATCGATGGTAAAATTGCTGAGGAAGGAAGCCAATCCTGTATTTGACAGATTGCCTAATTGTTAGACATTTCTATTGTGACTGTGTATAGAAACCATTTCATTAGAAATTGTATGTTTTATGTCATCTGTAATGTATTAGTTAACATACTCTAAAAAGAGAGACATTTAATTTTATCATTCCTTTGATTCAGCTGTCTTGGTGTAACTATTCAAGCTAGACTTTAGAATCCTAGAACCATAGAACTGGAAGAGACCTCAGAAGGTCATCAAGTCCAGCCCCCTGCTCTAGGCAGAACCAATTCCAACTAAATCAACCCAGCCAGGGCTTTGTCAAGCCGAGACTTAAAAATCTCTAGGGATGGAGACTCCACTACTTCCCTAGGTAACCCATTCCAGTGCTTCACCACCCTCCTAGTGAAATAGTTTTTCCTAATATCCAACCTGGACCTCTCCCACCACAACTTGAGACCATTGCTCCTTGTTCTGACATCTGTCACTTTTGCCATCTTGGCTGTGGGCATCATCAACGGCTGCTTTCCTGCCCTCTTTATGCAGCCCTGACAAGGAAAGTGAGCTGCATGTAAGGAGCTCTGATATTGCTCCTCGCTCCTCCCTTTCCAGCCCCAAGGTTCGTGGAGTGGGAGAAGCAGCAGTCTAATGGGCAATGTCAGCTTCTTTGTTCATCAAGGTCAGTTTCTCCACATGGGTGCAAAAGGAGTATGAAGAAGTTAGGGGCTCAGGTGGGAGGTGAAGGGGATGCAGGGATGGGAGCAGAGGAGGGGAGAGCAGAGGTTGGGATGAAAGGGACAATGTCCAGTGATTAGGGATGTAAGAGGGAGGTGCAGGGATTAGCAATATAGAAAGGTTTGGGGGTAAGGGCTATGGGTACACTGACCATAAGTCCCAGATTTTCCAGGACAGTCCCAATTTTAAATCTTCTGTCCCGTTGTCCCTATAAAGGACCAAAATGTCGCAGAAATTCCCCCATTGCGCCTCTGTCTTTTAAACGTAGTAAGAGCCAGATGGCAGAGAGTCTGGAGCTGGTGGGTGGGGCCTAAGGTGTCAGAGCATGGCTAAGGTTTGATTGATTGGTAGGGCCTTTATATCATGTGTCCCCATTTTTGGTTTGGAAAATATGGTCACTGTAGCTATGGGGAATGCCATGACCCCAAGGGGCCATGGGCACCAAAAGGCAAGTCCACCCAGACCAGCTCTTAGTCTTGAAAAGATTTTCTTATTAATACATAAAAGACCTTTCCATGACAGTGGGACAGTGCTGAAACAATGTATATACCAGGCAGTAAATGCCTAAATAAATAAGAAAAAAGCCTTATTGTTTCATTCACAAACTGTCTGTAACTTGGCTCAGGATTTATCTTCATTATTTTAAGGACCAAGGCACTTACCTTGGGTCTGTTTCATTCTAGTTTAATGTGTTCTGGATGACTGCTCTATAGCAGAGGACTTGGTGAGAGAAAGGGCCACTGTATTAAAGTATGTCTTCAAGTGCATTCAAGAAAACAGTTACTCTATAGGGTGAGGCTTACCAGTTAACTGCTGTTTCTGTCTAGGAATGGGAATGGTTATCCCAGTCTTCCTGCAAGACTTTCATTATTATATAACTTCCCCTTACTGACAGAGGATTATGAAGCTGTAAATTTTGTGAAATGGTACCTCTTTGCTATATTATCACAATTTCAGAAGACAAATCTATGCCGTTGCTGATGTTTGTGCATTGATCTTACACAGCACAGCAGAATCTTACTGAGTGGCATAAGCTCCTGTGGGAACACCTCAATGAAGCAATCCTCCAAATTCATCAGAGCATCGTTGTTGTTGTATGACACTAGAGCACTTCACTTAGTTAATGGATTGTTTTACCAATAGAAATACTAAAACATGCTATTAAATGTAAGAGATGGATTATTAGAACAAAATAGGAAAGCTGCAGAATGAAAACTTCATGCTGTCAATCGCCTGAAAACTATTGCAAGTATGTCCGCAGACAATACTGGGCTAGCCAGTGCTTGTTAGCCTCAAAAGAAACACACATTTCTGGGGAGTTAAGGGAAATATGTGAGAAATCTGGGCAAGCAGGACCGATAGCTACAAACGGATTTAACAACATTCGAGGAGGAGTGGAACCACCTCAAAAGAACATGGGTGGTGGCAGTAGAAGAGGTTTGTGGACAATGACAATGTAGTGTGGGAGGAGAGGAGGAGGGAGATGTAGTGGTGATGGACCCGTGAAGAGCAGATGGCAATCTGAAATGGAGTGCAAGAGGGGCATAAAGAAAAAATCCACTGAGTGCAAATGAAAGTGAATGCAGAGAAACCGTAAGCTGCCAATCAGGCAGTGAAGGCCAAAGACAATGTCCCTAGACAGCCTGTAAGATGAGTTTGTAAACAACCCACAGTTGGCTGGCAAAGATTTCTATAACACTGCATGATTCTGTGGAAAGAAGGCGGGTACTGCCACACCATTTGTAAGTTATGCCTGGGGAGACTCTTAGTAGCACCTGAAGAAGGAATGAAGAGGTGGAAACGATATCTAAGTTCTGAAATGAGGCAAACCCTTTTGGATGGAGTTGCCCACATGTGATGCCTGAGACAGGCAGACATGGAGGAAGAGATGAAAAATGCAGCCCAGAAAATGAATGGTAAGACAGTGGAACCTGATGAGGTGACACTGGAGCTGGTGATAGTCTTGGGTGAAAGAGGCATAGAACAGATGAGCAGAGTGGCTAAAACAGTCTGGCAAGACAAGAGATTCTCCCAAGATTGGGGCAAGTCTATTTTGGTCCCAACACATAAAAGGAAAGCATCTGTGAATGTGGAAACTATTTAGGTTTAAAATTACTGTTGCATGAGATGAAGGTGCTGGGTCATATTTTAGTTGCTAGTGTTAAAGGAGTGTTGGGAACCATCCTCAAAAAAAGAAAAGTTCTATCACAGGGAAGGATGAGGAACCACAGATGCCATATTTTTCCTTCTGCAAGTGATAGAGAAGGGGCTGAAGTACCAACAGGATAGCTTCTGATCTTCTATAGATCTAGAAAAAAGCACCTGATAAAATGGACAGAAGGATGCTCACACCAGTGCTGAGGGACTATGGAGTTTCATACACGATGTAGCTCACCCAACATAAGGATTCAAACATGGTTTCTGGAACAAGTGCAAGTTGGACTGCAATGCGGGGGAGGGGAGTCAACCTTCAGTCCACTCCTGTTTACTATATTGAGGGACTACGTCAGCAAGAGTTTTCCAATGGGAAAAGATGAGAAGCTATTTCATGCAAGTGATGTATCAATACAGTCAACCTTAAAATAAGAGTTTTGGGACAATACTAAATCATTGGTATGACTGTATAAGCAGTCATGGGATGGAAGTGACTATGCCTAAGACAGTCACAAGAAAACTGTATATAGAATTTAATGAAGTACCATTAAACCAAACTGACCAATACAAGTACCTTGGCAGCTGGGTTAGAGAAGAAATACTCCAGACTGGGGAATGCTGAAAGAGAATGGAATAACATCTCAGGGGTGTGAATGACAAGCATATGCCACAGAGACTAAAAGCTCAATTGTGTGTAGTGCTGCTACTCCATTCAGAAATAGGTGCTGAAATGAGATGTTGTCATGCAATAAAAAGTTACGCAAGGACAGATGGACTTCCGTCCTAATCATTTGCAAAGTCCGTGATGTGGCTGACCAGATCCAGCAAGGATAACATGTCTGGTTTGGATGCATGCGACAGGTGAACGAAGAGGACCTGGTGAAGATAGCGCAGCAGGAGAGGCAAGTAGAAAAGGAGACCATGAGTAAAGCTGTGAAAGTAATGGATGGATTGCATCAAAGAAGGCGATAAGCAGATGAACACTGGTTTGCAAGCATCTATTGCCTTCATTGGATCAAGGAAACAGCTCAGTCCAGGATGATGGGCTAAGGAGAAGATGTGTGCTATCTGTCTCATGGTCAGTCACTAAAACTCATTGCACAGAGTATATTCTCTGTTATCTAAACGGCGGCATCCATGTATTATATTGATCTTACAATAAACACCTGTATGTGGAATGAAACTTGAGCAATAACATGTTAGAAAACAAGAACACTTGTTCTTACCCATTTTGTTTCCCTGTTTGTCCTGTAGATAGCCGAAAGTAATGAGTCTCTTGATGCGTCTCCTGCCATTTCTAGCCTGCCAACAGAATCACTTTGCCAAGTACACTGACGGTTTAAGACTTGCTGTGGTTCAGGACTCTCAAATCCCATTATAGTGTGTAGACTCTGCTATGAATCCCACACCAAAGGCTTTCCTTTTAAGTAGCATTGATAATACGATATTCTTCTTCGTTAATAGGAATGTTGCAGGTATGGACTGAGTCCAGCACTACAGCTACATAAGTGGCCTACCAGCAGAAAGAGCTAAGAAAGCAAGACTTTTACTTAGAATACTCTGTCCCCTGTAAATCTATGCCTATGCACTGAACGTTGTCTTGGGAGGAAATAACTAAGTTGCAGGGGCTATGGGAGTCTGTTACATGTAGTGCAGCATCCATTAAAATTGGCCCGGAGTTTGAGGATGGTGGTGTGGGTTGGTCAGGTGGAGATGCTGACATGCAGCTGTAACATGCACAGGCATGGACTGTGCAAGAGTTGTGATACCAGGCTGCCTGAATGTGGGGGGCACAGCCAGGCTAATTGCTGGTACCCTCTGTGGCTGGTCCCAGTGCAGTTAAGAGTAAAATGAAGAGTTCCCAGAGGTAAAAGTCCTGGGATTTTGATGATGGATCTTGGGCTCATGTCATAGGGTGAGACATTGTACCAGGCCGGGGATCTCAGCCCACAATGTCCCTCCCCCTCATGGTGGGGAGGATGCTAGGATGCAGAATTGTCTCCTCAGGGGGTAGATGGAAGAGAGCCACCCAGTGTTATAGGTTGTGTGGTAAGGAGCCCTGTAACCCCTGCACTGGAACCAATTAAGTACCTGTAAACAGAGTATGGATGATGGGTGGGTAGCAAACAATAAAATAAAAGTAGTGTACTATCACTTAATTACGTGCATATGTATGTCTTCATTTTGCTACTATGTCCACATCAATAAATGGTGTTTTAGTAGTTACCTTCCTTTCATGAGGAAGTTACTCATAAGTCTAGCTAAACAGATCACTTGGCTGTTGCAATGTTTTAACAGCTGTCTTGAAAAAAAAATGCACATGAAAGAGAAGTAACTAATTCTGCAAAATACCATTAATAAGCTTCCCTTTGTCATTTGTGTGTCTGATTCTTCCTCACTCTGCTGCTTGGTCCCCTCTTAGAAATACATGCTATCTACAGTACAGTGTGAAGAGTGCATGCATTAATTCATCTGTGACCGTGTTTTAAAGCCCTCTCTCTCAGCTGTGTATCTGTTGGCTTGTACATACAGGTGCTCTTTGCTACTTATCTTTTCTATAAAAGCCTTTTTATTTATTTTGAATAGGAAAATTCAAGGGAAGGAAATAGAAGCCTCGTTCACCAGCTCTCCAATGAAAGTAGACTATCTGTCGCGGACTCTATCTCAGAGTTTTTTGATGCTCAAGAAGTCCTGCTGTCTGCTAGCTCTTCAGAAAATGAGGTCCGAGCACAAATATCAGAATATCTTCCTGATGTAGCTTACTTCAACATATTTAACCTTTTATCTTTCTGTATGGTAATTGCAAACTTGCTGACCTACCATAAATGAAATATTTTGGAGCATTAAAAAGTCAAACTTAATAGTTTGCTACTCTTACACACTTTTTAACTTAAGCTCAAGGAAGTGGCTGAAGAGGTAAAACAGGCAATATAGCCTGCAAGCCAAATTTTAAAATAGAAATGGTAAGGAATGTGTTTTGCTGCAGCTGTCCAGAGTCATCCCACAGGAGCTGCAAGAAATTTTATCAAATGATTGAATATTTGTAAATTTTCTTACGCCACCTGTAGGCTGACCTATGGCAGATGCTGATGAAACATTCAATTTTAAAACTGTTTTATATTTCATGAAATCCCAAAAAGTTAAGATCAGACTTCAAGAAAAAACTCTAAAGTTTCAGGATTTAAAAAAAAGTTTTTGCCTTCAATAAAATCTATTTGTGATTATGAAATCATTTTAGTAATGAATCTTTGATCTAGATACTTTTGTATTGTTAGGCTTGACTATTGTTTCCATGCAACACAGACACCGTGGAAACTATAAAAATCTCTTTAAATGACAGATCTTTGTTCCACTAATTTCACAAATGATTATAACAGTTGTCAGGAGTAGCATATTGCTAACTTATTTATATATAAAATGTTTGCTGTTTCCTTCCTCCCCAGATATCAGATGATGATTCATATGCCAGTGATATAAGTGATAACATCTCTGAGGATAACCTAAGTAACGATATTGAGAATGAAAGGCAAACTTTGGGTAAGACTGGTGTGGTGTTTTGTATTGTATTCTGAGAAGAGGTTTTTTTTATATTTACCAGAAATCACTCTGGTATCACAGATTTCATTGGCTAGCTTTTGGTTTCCTTTTAAGAGTTGAACTCTTGGATGTAAGTACCTAATTAAAGCTAGCCTTCGTGTCAAGTCTATATTAGCATGGTTAGACTATACATTTGCTGTTTATCTCAGATTATGTATGTCCTGATGTCCACTGATATATCTATATTGCATTTAAAAGGCCAAAGCACATCACTGGTAATTTCTGTGGAGCTACAACATACTTAGACCAGCTGAAGACGTGGCCCAAACTATTTAGTTCAGTTCATTGGTCCTTTCTATGCAATCAGCATGACAGCATCCCATTTCGAAGAGCTGTTTTGAACCAAAATACATATTTAGCACTTTTGTTTTCTTTTCAAAGGATATCTCCTCCCTGCTGGGGTCTCGGGAAATAGCTTCCCTTTGGGCTGAGTCTCTTATTTTGGATGTTAATTGTCTTCCTCCCCCATGCAAAGCATCTGAGTCAGTCCTCCTTCTGAAAGGGAAGTCACACTAGTGTGTCAATTGTTTCCTTACCCCAGGTGGGCTCTCAAGTTCAGGATGCTTACAGTCTTTTATGCAAACTAGCATTATGACAGATTGTATGTAGGCAGGAAAATAATGTGAAATAAATTATAACACAGAATAGGTGAATTATTTGTCATAGCTACCCCACAAGAATGAGAGTTCAAACCCTTAGTCCTTCATTCTTGGGTAATCAGTGGCTGGGAGAACTGCAGAGGCACAATGCTCTGTGCAGTGCTGTGACTTTGTGTGCATTGGCAGTTTTCTGGAAATTTCCCACTGGTGTCCTTAGAACAGGGCTGGCAAAGTTGGCAGCAGTAGTGTAGGCCCGCCAGGCATACTCTAGAGTGTCACTTTGATGTGCTGTAAGCAGAGTTTGACAATGTAATGTAGCTGGCCACTGTGTTCTTAACCTCCATCTCACCATTGCAGGCATGAGTGGAGTTTAATTGATATCAGTACAACTCTGTGAGACTACTTAAAAATGGACAGACTCTTATCTTCATGGGCAGTGCTTCTCTGGCTATTTTGGGCAAAGTATAGCCAGATTATGGAGGTAGTTGTATCTGTTCCTCTTTGAGCTGGACAAGGCCTTGAAAAACTCAGGTGAAGAAGTCAGCCTTAAAAAGGAGAAAATGATGTCAAGGCAGCATCCAAATGTCCCAGGATCAGAGCTGGGTGTTGTAGAAATGCATACACACTGTTCAGGGTGACTGGAAATAAAATGGGGTGATGGCAGGAGGGCTGTGAGGAGAATATATCCGATGGCTTGGTTATATCCTCCTCCTGCTTGGTTAAGCCAAATAGTCTACTCTGGTCAGTCTGTTTTGTGCTATGGTCATGGGTGATAAATACTGAAGGCAGGGGAAGGCTAAGCCTTCCCAAACAGCCTTGCAAGGCCCTGCCTACACTCCATCCCCAGGCTCCTTCCTGCTTCCCAGTCCTGTGCTGCAGGTGTCCCTTGCCCTGTGGCCAGGGCCCCAGGCTGTGGTGAGGGCTAATGAGAGATGTGTGGTGTGCTGGTGAGGCAACTCTTGGGGGAGTGCATTACCTGGCACACTGATAGGTGGGAAAGGGGCCACACTAGACTGGGGAAGAGAAAGGGGGTGTGCCATACAGCTCACCTGTCAGGTATTCTGGTGCTGATGGAAGGATGGCTGCTCCACCCATCCAGCACACTGGGGTAGTGGTCTTGGGTTGGGGTCAGGGAGAGGCTGGTGTCCATGTAAAAGTGGTCTTCTGCACTTCGTTGGGAGGGGTGCAGCCTTGGACCCTAGGTTCACCCACCACTCATGGACACAGTCCCTCTGCTAAAGCTTCTCTCTGGTGTGGCTTTATTTTAAATGTACCTCAAGCCATTTACTGTAAAACTTGGAACTATTTATCATGCCCAGATTGCTCTGACACCTGAACGCAGAGCTTAGCCATTCTCTTGGATGTGTGAATTATCCTTTTGAATGTCAGGCAAGCGCATAGCTTTCCTGTTGCCTTCTCCAACACATAGATGTGTTGTGAAGCTGAATTCCGAAATGTTTGTGTGAGGTATTTGGGTACATGGAAAAGCCTGCCAACAAATGTCTGGTGTTTGCCTACAGCAATAGATTTTTCTTGATAAAAGAAGTGCATCAAATAAGCAACTGGGAAGCCCATCCACACTGCCCCAGGGATGGAGCTGGCTCCCTTATTAGGAACATCTTAAGAGCCTATTGATATGTCTACACTGCACTAAAACCCCCGTGGCTGGCCTATGTCAAGTGACTCAGAGTCATGGGGCTTGGACTGCAGGGCTATAAAATTGTGGTATGGATGTTTGGGCTCTCAGGGACTCTGCCTTCTTCTGGGGTCCCATAGACATTTGGGCTCAGGCTGGGTTCCAGCCTATCTAAATTTATAATTTTATAGCCCTGGAGGCTGAATCTCACAAGCCCAAGTCAGCTGACACAAGCCAGCTGCAAATGTTTTATTGCAGTGTAGACATACTAGTAGGCTTTTATAGAGCATTTCAGGGGATTCTTTTCAAGAATTTATGCTTCATGTATATCAGTAAAACTTGCTTGGTTTAAAATCTTATTTTAAAAGATTAGTGTACAGCCGATTATCTTCAAACCGCAAATATTTGAGTTGCACGAGGAGTGAAGATTTGCCTGACAGATAAGGAAATAGTTGTTGCTTTAAATACATCCATCGTGTTTCCCGAAGAGATGAGACTAAACAATTAACTGTTTTCATATAATGTGCTTCTTCCAGACTGCATTGTTGAAAGTGAGATGAGAAGTCATTCCAAGAGGAGAATGTGTTTGCCGGCTCCATGTCCTAATACCAGTAACATCAGCCTGTGGAATATCCTGAGGAACAACATTGGGAAGGATCTTTCCAAAGTGGCCATGCCTGTGGAGTTAAATGAGCCACTTAATACTCTTCAGCGACTTTGTGAAGAACTGGAATACAGTGAACTTCTGGATAAAGCAGCACATACCCCAAATTCATTTGAAAGGATGGTAAAAAAAAAAAAAAAAAAAAGCAACATTAGATGTAATCAGAACCTAACATGATGACTCTTCTTAAGCCAAAGAGTCAAAGTAAAACTTTTCTTTGCTTGTGCTTCCAGCTCAGAGGGGCAGGCTTTTAAAAGAAAACTCAACTAGCTCTTACGGTCTGTTTGACATCATTTCCATGGCAGTAACAGAGTAGCCATTTGTCAGATTCTCCCCCAAGTTTAGTCAAGAGAAACTTAGTTCAGTTCTGTGTTGCCTGTCTTGTGTCTCCAGGTTTAAAGAGTTGGCCAAGCAGAAAATCAGGCTGGGGGGCATAATCCTTACTGCCTGCTCCTCTCCCTCCCCTCTCCCCTCCCCACCCCCACGTGCACATCTGAGGGGGACACGTGCTAGGGCTTCCTATACAATGTTAACTACAATAGTATTAACAGAACGAGAGGCCTTCTTTTTATCAGACTTTTTATTTAAAGCTTTTCGGGTCCCCTTAAAATATGAGATCTCAAACTGGGTAAAATGTGAATTTAGTTAAAACACAAATGCCCTTTGAAATGACCATTTTTTAAGAGCTATTTCTCCTTTAATAGCTAAGAAGGGACTTGATGTTTTTCGTTTCCTGAGCTAACCACCTAACTCAGCACTGCTATGCTGGCTATGGGGTACTTGTGCTATTAAAGACAGAACTCTGAATTCAGAACTTGGCAGATAAGGGAGGGAGAAATGAATTTCAATCCTGTCTCGTTTCTAATTGTAATCTATTAATGTTGAAGTCTAAATATATTTTGATTTGGTGTAAAATCCCTTATTAGCATTAATGTTTTGGAATGAATGCTCTGCCGTTTCCCTTGGAGCGAATAAACACTTCAGTTCAACAATGAAGTGGTGTTCTCTTGAGAGAACAATCCTGAACAAAAACTTAATTCATCTTCAGGATCCTTCCTCATGTCTGCTAACTCTGCTAGAGGTATACTTGTTTCTGGGTCAAAGGAAGTAATGCCTTAATGTCCATGAAGCAAAATTTGCTTCAACAACCCCAGACTAACACGGCTACATTTCTATCACTATTCTTAATGTCCATGCTTTTCTCTTCTCTTTGCTTGAGGAAAAAGTGTATTAGCAAAGGAAATAAACGCTTTTTAGGAGGAAATAAAGGCAAAACAGGTGTGTTGTCCTCACATTTCAGAGAAATTACATATGGGAAGAGAAATAGAGCGTGTTCTAGAGTGAGAACCCCCAAAGCAATGTTATTGCTAACTGTACTGAAATCCCATTACCTTGTAGTCCACTTCTGAGCATTTCATTAATGAATTGAGGTATGGAGGCTGGAGAGGAAGCACATCTAAAGCACAGTGTAGGGCTTTCCCAAGGAAAGGGGGGAAAAAAGGAGGGCAGGGCCATCCTTACTCAATGCAGAATATGCAGCTGCATAGGGCACCCAAAAATTTGGGACCCCAGTGGGTCTTAATGTCTGTCTCCACCCACCTCTTCCTATTTTTATTTTGTGGCTCTGGAGAGGCTCTAAACTTAAAACTGAAAGAGCCTACCAGACCTATTAGCAGAACAGCAAACCTGTGAAAGAGCCATTCAACTGGTATTTGCAAACCCCAGGTATGTACTGTCAGTTTCTCAGCTTACTGTGTTAGTCCACAGGACTTGAGCTTAAAATTTGCTTTAAAAATATTTCATTAGGGAGTTGCTGACTATTTTTGTTAAGAGATGTGATTTTATAATAGAGCGCGCGCGAGAGAGAGAGAGCGTGCATTGGGCATGGGTCACCAGTTTAATACTACTGCATAGGGCCCCAGAATCCTAAGGATGGCTCAGGGGAAGGAAGGGAGTGAAGGAAACGAGAGCTGAATCAACATTCATAGAATAACCTCCAAGCTTTCCTTCCCAAAATTGTTAAATTCTGCAGAAGTGCTCGTAACTCTCTCTGGAGATTAATATCTCTCCATTTACCGTAAAGGAAATTGGCAAGATAAAGATTAACAGACAATAGCCAGTTTGCACTGCCATTTGTCTAAATCTATGCTACCACTTGTTTGCAAAATTAATAGGGTATGTGATATTCACACACCAAAGCAAGTAGCATAAGTGGTGGTATGCACAAAAGAAATGCATGCTGTCAATATAGCTGCCACTGCTCATGGGGATGGTTTAATTTTATTGACTGGAGAGCTCTCTCTCATTGTCATAGAGCAGCTATACAAGTTTTGCTACTGTCAGCTCTCTAGTGTAGACATAGCCTTAGTGACCCCCACAGAAAACTAACCAGACTAAACTGTTGCCTCATAGAGGTAACTTTCCCAAGTTTTAGGCATGGGGGGGTAGGGTTTCATAAATCTAGGCCCCACAATTGTACTTTCTACATGTGTTGAGATGCTTTTTAATACACAATTTATATATATATATATATATATATAAAATACAAAAATACTCATCTCACACATCTCTGACCAACAGAATTTTTGCTGAGAAAAGAGCGATCTTTGTATCTCATGTTCTGGGACCAGTAGGGTTACAACACTGCAAAATAACAGCTCTAGTATTCTTTGGTCCAGCATCTGTCAGACTCTCTCCATTTTGGGTGTGTGCTTCTGATTTTGTGTTTTCCTGCATAGATGTAAAAGAAGAATTTGAAATACATTTTTAATCTCATATGGTTTGGGATCCTTCCTATTTAATAAAAGCCTTGAAATGACTTGTCATACCTCAGTGCTGGTGCTTAAAGGTTGACTTTTGTAGCCATACACTATATTTTTTCTGCTGTTTGAAAATGTGGGCATTTGGAATTTGTATGGTGCCTCTGTCTTACAATGTAATGGATGAAAAAGAATGATATATAATAAATTGTTAATGACTGGTTGAACAAAATTCTGTTTATCCTTAGGTCTATGTAGCTGCTTTTGCAGTATCTGCATATGCATCCAGTTATTACAGGGCTGGAAGTAAACCGTTCAATCCGGTGCTTGGAGAAACATATGAATGTGTCCGTGAGGATAAGGGCTTCCAATTCTTTTCAGAACAGGTACTGTATAATGTGCCTTGAACTGTACTACTAGTCACTTCATAGATTGGTTAATTCTGTATGCGTGCTGCTTTCCACAGCATGTGGGAATTAGTCATATATAGCATCTTTGGAAAACACTACAGTATTATAAATATAGAGATCACTTCATTTTTATCTGCTAAAATGAAGCTACCTCTAGAGTGAAACATGATGATAGCCATTATAAGAGGGTTAACATTACACACCAATTCATGGCCAGGAAACAAAGAATAACAGCTTATCTACTTGAAATTAAAAAAAGCTTCCCTAGGCAGAATCTAACTGCCCATATGTGGCCTGAACTAGGGCAAATATTCATATTCCTATGAAAAGTTGTATGTCCTCTTTAACAGTCAGTAATAGTCCATACCTTGTTTTGCATAAGCTATTTTCAATGTAGTGTCTCCTCATACTGCAATGAATCACCCATCCAAGTAGCAATACTATTTTCTGTACTACCCTGGTTTTGCCTTTGTCTCTCTTCAGGTGCTAACTGGGCCCGACTCTGTCCTTACCCTGTAAGATCAGGGATCCCCACCTCACGTAGCTGCAGAGAGCTAGGCAAAGAGTCTTGATTCTGCAAATAATTTATAGGTGGGAAGATAACTAAATATAGGAGATTCAATACCAGGTTGAAATTTGGTGCTGCCAAAAGTAGGTGGAGTTATACAAGGACTAGATTAAATTACACTTCAGTGAATACCTTAACAACCAAAAGGGGGGTATCAGGTTAAAATCTGCTTCAGCTTATTATAAAAAGGCACAGGAAAACCTGCATATTGTTGAAACTCTAAGTTAAAGTCCATTAAGAAAGAAGTTTAAGAAAAAAAAACCTGGAACCTGAAACAGTCTTAAGCAGGTGACCCAAAAAAGGGCTACGTAACCTTAACCTAGCCCCAGGAAATAAGTCACCGGCATTACTAAGATGGAAATATGGGACTCGGTAGGACAAGTATCAGATTCAAAATTCCATTAGTGTGCCTGATGCTCCACTGTTACTTCAGTTTTATGGTGAGGAAAACAATTGATTCGTGATAGTTGCATTGGCATCAAACCAAACTAGCCTAATGAAGCAGAGAGTCAGGCCTACTGTTGCAATGTCACAATTTGAAAAAAAAACAATCAATACAGTAGTCTGGTAGCACTTTAAAGACTAACAAAACATGTAGATGGTATCCTGAGCTTTCGTAAAGAAGTGGACTGTGCCCACAAAAGCTCATGATACCGTCTATGTGCTTTGTTAGTCTGTACAGGATAAACTTTAAAAGAACAACAAATAGTCTGGTAGCACTTTGAAGACTAACTCGGCTACCCCCTGAAGCTACAATAATTTCAGTTACAGTGGTTCCCAAACTTTTCGTCATCACGCCCGCCCCCTTTTTTGATTTTTGAGAAACTCACACTCCTCCCATCCCCCAAATAGCAGCAAAACTTGTTGAGCCAAAAAAAAAACTGACTGGGGCCAAAAAACAAAAATAGCAGCCCCCCAGTTTGGGAACCCATGATGTAAAAGAATTTGCTCTTCTATAATGTGTAAAGTGCATAAAGTTGCCAGCCCTTCAGGATTGTCCTGGAGACTCCCAGAATAGAAGATTGGCATGTGATGAAAGCTCCAGGAATACAGCCACCCCAAATTGGCAACTCTGATAAATCAAGTAATAGAAACTTAACTGCCCATTCTAACCTGCTAGGAAACTAAGAACCATTGTGGAAGCTTGTATTTAAATGTGATAGCTGATGCTTCTGTTCTGTGTGGCTGCTTTTTTCATTCTCTGCAATGTCAAATTTATTTTTTTATAACCCTGTCTTTGTTGTTTGTGGGTTATGTTACTTCAGGTCTACGTTACTTCAAACTTAGTACTGAGGAAATGCATAGTTGAGGTTTTATGCTAGGAAGAGCAAAAGCAGAAGAGCGTATACTCTAACAGCTCTTGTTAGAAGATAAGGTGTTATGATCTGATTTATTTCCCAGAAGTGCTGGTGGCACCAGTTTATTCGAAGTTAATGATTTTTGTGTTTCCACCCCTTTGAAAATAAGGCCAACATTGCCTTTACTCTTACACCAGAAGTAAACTTGATCCTTCATTTCTACACATTTGTTTGTGCTTATTAATACATTCATGGGTCCTAAACCACGTGTAATTACCACATTACTGACATTTTGCATCATATGCAGTTAACAATTCACCCAACCCACAAATATCAGATCTTTTCTTTTTATTCCTTGCTTGAGATCCCTCTTCCTACAACCTTTTTCAATTTCTAGAGCCTATAAGTTAATTTTACTAGCTCTCCTCAAGGACAAAATTGACAGGAAATGAGGCATTTAAACTGTAAAATTCATACATAGAGAAAATTAAGTAGATTCAAATGAACTTGTAAATGTTAATGTGGTTTTTTCCCCTCTTCCAACTAGGTCAGTCATCACCCACCAATATCTGCATGTAATGCTGAATCTGTGAATTTTGCTTTTTGGCAAGGTAACTCTTTAATAACATTTACTAATGTCCTTTTTGTAGTCGCTTCATTTTATGTCTAACATTAAAACCATCCACAAGATTAGGAAAGGCAGTTTCCCCAGTTGTTAAACAATATTAGAACTGCTCCAGGCAATGTCAGCCTGTAGACTCTGGCGTGCCTTTCATAGCATTTGTAATCAAGGAGGCTTTCAGTAATCATTCCTGAACATTAATGGATGATATTTTACCAGCATCAATTCCTGCACTTCCGAAGCAAGCAGCAAATCCTGTTCTGTGGCTTAATAAAGTATTGGGAAAGATTACATCTCAAGTATTAAAAAAAAAAAATGGATTGGAACTAGAAAAGTAAGGGCTAGACCCCAAGCTGATTTGCAGGATTTATCACATTTTATTTCCCCCTTTTCCTCCGAAGACATTTGGACAAGACAATGGAGAAACATATATACCATTTTTTTTTTTTTTTTTTTAAACTTGAAACAATGGGGGGGAGAAGGAAGTCCAATAAAGCATGGCAGGAGAGGTTTGGCACTTCTGCTCCTGCCTTGAGATTCCCAGTTTAAAAAAAAATAAAAAATACAAAGACCCCACCTGCCTCACAACTATGGCAAAGTCATGGGACATAATTAGATGCGACCTTATGCTGTCCTTGTAAGAGAGTGTCTATACAGCATCCTTACCTCGAAATAAGTTACACATTTTACGCTATGCCAATTGTGTAGCTTATTTCAATCCTATTTTGAAATAAAGTGCTATTCCGAAATATCCCTCATGCAATGATGTCGGAATAATGGGCCCATTTTAATATGTATATAAAATTGCATGTAGAACTCTAAATGTAAAGAAGTTTAATCCTAAAGCAGCCAGTGTGTGAGAAGTTCTTTGTATGTTGTGAATGTTTCCTAATCCTCCACCCACCTTAGCTAAAAAGAGTGAACTTGGGTCTACTTCAGGGTTTGCTGAGCATGGCAAGGCTGGGGGTGGAGTTACGGGATCAACCTTGTATTTCATGCTTTCTAAGTAGAACAGGCTCCTTTTCTCTTGAGAGTGTGGTTCTGGGATTTGGTTAATCATGCATTTAGAGCAGTGGTCACCAACCAGAAGATCAGGAGCCTCTGATAGCTTCCCAGCCAAACCTGTCAGGATCACCTATCAAGTACCAGCACTTCAGCTGCGCTTCCCTGCACTGCCCTGCTGCTCCTGCTCAGAGCTGCCCCTGGGAGCCGCCTCCTTGTTGTGCAGTGTGGAGCAGACAGATGCAAGGGGGCACTGATGTCACTCTGTCCCCCTCTCTGTACCTCAACTTCAGAGTGAGGAGGGCAGTGCCTTGGCAAAGGAGTAGAACAGGGGCATTTGTGTTTGAGAGAGATCCTGGACTGACTTAAATCCAATATGTGATCTTATGCTTAAAAAGGCTGGAGACAACTGATTTAGAGGAACTGGAGGCTGAGTGACAATTTTTGTGGGAGTCTTCTGAAGAATGTTAGTCTTCCTGCTCTTCCATCCTCATCCAATCCTGCCTTGCCTTCTCTATTGTAACTCTGTTCTCTAGACCAATGGTTCCCAACTGTTGTTTTTTTAATATCGTGGACAGGCAAGCCCATTCACAAACTGTAGGTGAACAGGTAACCTTGTATTTGCATATGCATATTCATTATGCAAATAACAAATATGCAAATAAAATGTTACTGGTCTGCCAAAAGCCCCGGCCCCTGGAGCCACTGCAAACAGCTGGCTTGAGCTCCGGGAGTCACCATGTGGCGAGCAGCTGCTGCATCTGTAGCTCTGGGAGCTGGCAAACACTCTGGTCCCCTGAGTGCCCCCTCCCCAGTGCCAGCCTTACCCCCTAGCATACCACACCCTTCCACTACCTCCAGCGCCAGCCACTGATCTTAGTCCTCTGCTCCCTAACCACCAGTGCCAGTCCCCCATCCTAAACGCTTCAGTGCCAGCCCCCTACCCATCAGACCCCCAGTGCCTTCTGTTTCCAGAGCCTCACTACACCTAGCCCCCCAACCTCTCCAGTGCCAGCCCCAGTTCCCAATATTAGTCTTGCCCCCAGAGCCTCCCCAGTGCCAGCTCCCCACCCTGGATGCCCCTGTGCTCCCCAGTGACAGCCCCCCACCTTTTAGAGCTCCCTGAGCCCTCCAGCACTGAGTGCTGCTGCCCGGGTTGCAGCTGCTCTAAGGCTGCTGGGCAGAGCTCGGCACGGACCTCCTGCTGTGCAAGGAAGTGCTCTTCCACATCTGGGAGGAGATGCTGCATGTGCCCGGCTCTGGTTGAATGCCAGCCCCCTGCCTTAGCAGCTCCCCACTCTGAGCCCCCCAGCACTAGCCCCACCCTTGAAACCCACAGTGATAGCCCCACCTCCTTCATCTAGCCCTGCGCTGCCTCCCAGCCACCGAGTGCTGCTCCCTGGATCCCAGCTGCTGTAAAGCTGCCATGCCGGCTCTGCATGGCCCTCCTGCTGTGCAGCGAATTGCTCTTCTATGTCCAGGAGGAGATCGTGTCCGGCACTGGTTGCCTGAGAGGCAGGGCAGGACACGCTTCTCCCAACAGCTGCAGCAGGAGGGGAGGTGCTTGGCAGCGTACCCCAGCTCTGGCCTCCAGAGCCGCTGCGGCCCGGCAGCTAGTGGTTCATGGCCCAGACCGGGTGGTTGGGAACCACTGTTCTAGATTGGCTCTGACTTGTTCATTCATGAGATCTTTAAATCTTCGTGAATCAGGAGAGTGGGTTCTGACAGTGCTGTTTGTTCTGGGAACCAGTTTTTTTCCTCCATTATGAAGCTGAAACTTTTGGTTGCCTATTACATTAGCACATGTAAAGGAGACTTGATATCTGCTCGTCTTCGGCTGAATCTGGAGCTCTCTCTCCTTCTAAAGCTCCTGCTATAGCAGTTTCTGCCTTGACTACCCTGGGCCGAACTTCAAGTGAACTCCTCATTTGTTGCAAAGATTATCCCAACTTTCAGGATTCCTGTGCTACATGTTTCTTGGACGGTTTCCAATATGTTGGCCAAAAGGCAGTAGCTAGATTGACAGAGTTATTCTCCTATCAGCCTAGCACTGCTACACACTGAAGTTTGACTATGCTACTCAGATGCAGAATTTTTTTTTCATACCACTGAGACAGTTATGCTAAACTAATTTTCTAGAGTAGCTTAGCACAAGCAGAGCTTTAGGAAAAGGAGACATTTTCCATTTTTAAATAAACAAATTGTATATGTAAGGCACCATATCTTTGTGTGGTTCACAGGTCGGTTTCCTTGAAATATGAGCTTTGCTTTAGACATGACTGTGTTCTAATAAAATGTGCGAAGGAAGTATCTACTAATTTGAATTATTCAACTTCCATTCATTTGAACAAAATCTGATAAAGAATATCTTTCTTCTATTTGGGTTTTGACTTTCTGGTTGAAATATTAGACCTGCATCCCTTGGAAAAATGAAACCGTATGGGGCTCTGCAGGTCAATAGCTAAAACTTTACTTAGGATCTCAAATATACTACATCTTCCTCCCCCACCCTCTCGCTTTATAGACAGATAAACATTTTTTCCTGCTGTGTGACAGAATGACAGATGGTTAGAAAACATAGCGAGCCGGGGGGAAGAGAGGGCCAGAGAGCAGGGGATTGGCGAGCATAGCCCTCTAGTACTTTTTAAAAATAATTCTGTTCAGAAATTGTTTTATAGACCTGTTTACTGTTAAATGTGCCTGGTTTTCTTTTTCAGATGTGAGATGGAAAAACAAATTCTGGGGGAAGTCCATGGAAATCGTTCCAATTGGTACAACACATGTAACTCTGCCAGCGTAAGTGCTGCCTCAACACATGGCTATTCAGATGAAGCAGGGCTGCATTTACAAGATAAGATCACAACTGTAGTACAGTGGTATATCTGAGCTCTTGTAGGCAACATGTGGGTTGCATGTGACTCATCGGGGTTTCATGCGTGGCCCATGAGCCATTTTGTTTATTGGTGCCCATGTGCAGGGTTGTCACATTCCGCTGGTTTCCATCCACATGTTTGTTTTCCTACTGGTATTACTAATGTGACACACATTTAAAGTAAAGGCAGGTGAGATAAGGTACATACCGATTGCACACAACATGGACTGAGAGAGCTGGTGCTCCGTCTGCATCCAATCAAAGCACTGTTATGATTTAATTGGCACAGCCTGCTAATTGTAGGTACGTAAGCACAGTTAGGGTAGTCTTGCTATCACAGGACATTCTCTTGGTTACGACAATCTTGCGGCCCACTGAAATGGGGGCCACTCATGTAGCTCACTCGCTAACCTTCGCTTTTGGTTTAGAGTCTACCTTTAGCAGCTCTTCTGTCAATACACTATTAGAATTGTTTTACGCATACTTAGTGAGGAAAATGTATGCTTTTGTTAAGGGACGGCTATAGGCTTAGTACTGTAGTAGATGGCAGTCAGGGTCTCTTCTCTCCCCCCTCCCCTTTTGGTTTCATTAACTGCTCTTAATAGCAAGAGAATATCTTGGGTCAGGGACTCTTTATAGTCTCTCTTCTATAACACAATAGTCCTGGGTCTTCCTGGGCAACAGAGCATCTTTCTCTTCTCCACCCCTCCCCTCCTCCTTCCCTTCTATTTATTTCTCCTTGCATTTTTGAGGGAACTAGGGAGGATACTTGGTGTACCATTCCACAGAGGGAAAATAGGTTATGTAAATTGGACTTTCTGCCTCTCAGTGGAATCATGGGTATGGCAATGGTGGTGTTTCTGAACGTATGTGGAGAATAAGGGATGATATATTATGGTCTGTTGTCCATAGTGGAAAATCTGAATTTGGGGAGAGGTCTGGAGATGGAAGGTAAGATACAAGCTGTAAGTGGGTTTGGGCTGATGAATTGGAAGATGATTGATGGGAGAAGGGGCTGGCCCTGTGCTGTTTGCAGGTCAGAGGTGTTCATTGTAGTGTTTGGGTGTTGGAAGGTTTCTAATGGCTAAAGATAGGCAGAATAAAGGTTGACTTTTTTGAAGTTTACAATGTGATATTTTAAATATCCATATGTATTGAAGAGGCCATAATGAACAGATATTTGGAAACGTATCGACCTTCTTTTAATGATTCATTTTCAGACATTAAGTGCTCAGCATTATTTTTTAAAACTAAGATGTTTCTTGGCAGATAGACGTTAGTGTTGTATAATTACCTTGTTGTTTGTTTTGTTCTTTTCTTTCCTTTCACTCTTGCTCTAATATGCAACTGCCTCTCCAAAAACTAGTTAAGTCTGTCTTTTTATGCTCTTGCCTACAGCACAAGCTCACTTGAGCTTTGAGGGCTTGACTAAAAGTCCACTGAAGTCAATGGACTCCCCTGGACTTCAGAAAGCTTTCAGTCAGGCCTTAGGGCTGTGTCTAGACTGGCAAGCTTTTCCGCAAAACACTGACTTCCTACTGTCTGAAATCAGTGCTTCTTGCGGAAATACTATGCTGCTCCCATTCGGGCAAAAGTCCTTTTGTGCAAAGCTTTTGCGCAAAAGGGCCAGTATAGACAGCTCAGATTTGTTTTGTGCAAAAAAGCCCCGATCGTGAAAATGGCAATCGGGGCTTTTTTGCGGAAAAGCACGTCTAGATTGGCATGGATGCTTTTCTGCAAAAAGTGCTTTTGCGGAAAAGTGTCTGTGCCAATCTAGACGCTCTTTTCCGCAAATGCTTTTAACGGAAAATCATGCCAGTCTAGACGTAGCCTAGTTGTTTGTGAGCAACTGTGAAGAATGGACACTAAACTAAATGGGCATTTTAGTGCTCCTTCCCCTAATCAAGCGTTATGTGCAATACAAAAACTGTTTTTAACTTTGCCACAATTTAAGCTAGTGTATGTTGACCTAAAAACACTAACTTAATTCAATGCTATGATTTATACTAGACATGCAAAGGTTTTCAGGGAAATGGAGTTTCTTGCTACGTTGTTGTGCTTGCCAGGAAGGGGGAGGAGAAAGGGAGAGAAGACTAATTTGGAATGACTTATTTTGCATTTTCAATAAGAAAATTCCCCCCATTAGTCATTGTTATGAGTTCATTGGTTATTTTAGGGATGGCATCATTAACCTCTTTTTATTATTTCAAGTTTCAGAGACCATTTTGAGTGGAATAAGGTGACTTCTTGCATCCATAATATCTTAAGTGGGCAAAGATGGATTGAACACTATGGAGAGATCATTATCAAAAACCGGAATGATGACACTTGTCTCTGCAAACTGACATTCATAAAGGTGTGACTTCTCTTCCTGCTGCATTGTGGATGATACTTTTTCTAAGGAGTGCCTCTGTAAGGAGGATGCTCTATAGGAGAGTCAGGTCCAGGAAAGTACTCTTGTTTCTTGGGCGTCTTATGGATTACATTTGCCCTTTGATCTAATTGTAATTGCCATAGGTGCTTTGGAGGAGGAGGAGGATGATGATGATGATTATTTTGTCCACCAGGAGCAAAATACAACTATAAAAGAATTGCATTTCATTAGGGAGGGCTGTGCAGAAAATAAAAGCAGCTGTTTTGTATGAGGAGATGCCTGATATATGAAAAGAAACCCCCAAGGATAGGGAATGGGATGCCAGTAGTGCAGTGGTTCTCAAACTTTTTGACCGCAGCCCGCCCCGCTCAATGTGAAACTTTCCACGGACCACTAGCCAACCCCATGATGACAAAATGTCTCCACTAATCTCTAAATACCTTAAATACTAAATTATTTTTAGTATTTAGTTAGGCTACTGGAGCATAGAAATGTGAATATGCGGCTATAACATAAAAGGGTGTACAAACCAGTAAGAAAAGAAATATTAATCAAAATCATTAAAGAGATTAAGTGCTTTAACTTTATCATGTTAGTTTACCAAACTTTGTCTTAAAGTAAAATATTTGTCAAAAAAAAAAGCTTCAACATTCTTTATGGCAGGGATGAGGGACCTTTTTTGGGTCAGTGGCCCCAGACCCACAGAAAAATCATTTGGGGGTGGGGCACAAGTTAGAAATTAAAAAATAACAAAAAAAACTCCAACCCCCTCTGATATGGCCTCCACCTGAGACATCTCACTCCTGCCCCGCTGGGGGTAGGGGGAGTACGGAAGTTCAGCATTTCCCACAGACCAGATTAAGTCTTCTGGGGTCCCAGGGCTAGTAGATTTTGTGTCCTGTACCACCACCCCCCTCCGTAGGCTCTAGATGGGGCCAAAACTGAGAGGTTCAGTGTGTGAGAGCTGATGGAGGTGCAGGGTCAGGTGTGGTGCTGGAGGGGGTGAAGGTGAAAGGTCTGGATGGGAGGCTGGGTGCAGGAACAGGCTGAAGGTGGGGGTCTGGGTAGGGGAGAGGGTTCAGGAGTGGGGAGGGGGTGTAGTGTCTCAGTGGGAGGGTTGAGATCAGGGTCTTGGTGGTAGAGCAATGGGAGTGCATGGTCTGGGAGCATACGGGGTGCATCTTGGCTCTGCACATCCTGCTGCTCCCTCACACGATCTGTTGTTGCTTCCATTAGCCATGATTCTAGCCAACGGGAGCAGTGGGAAAATCCTCCAGGTGAGCAGTTTCCTGCACTGCCGTTCCCCTGGCCCGACGGAGGTGGAACAGCAGTGCATGGAGCCACTTCCTCCCGCCGCAAGCCAGATCTGGCATGTGAGGTTCTGGGTTCCCCCAGCCCCACAGCAGGAAGCTGGCAATGACATTCCAACCACGTAGCGGAAGGGGGCACAGGGCTAGAGCACCAACATGGGCTCCCCACTGCAGGGGAGGCCGAGCTTCAAGCCTGCAGCCCACTGCAAGTCTATTTCGGACCACTAGTGGTCCTCAGACCAAACTTTGAGAACCACTGCAGTAGTGGGTACTTTTTCTGACTAAAGGCAGGCACTGTGTCCACTAGTGGTGGTTCCCCACATGCCTCTCCCTAAACAACTGTGAGGCAGTCTGTTCCATTTCCTCAAGTTAACTTCTACCAGCCTCTGTAGCACTGCCACTCACAGTACAAATGCCTAACAACCAGTACTGGTGAGCAACCAGTACTCTGCTCCTGCCATTTGTGTATACTATGTAGCTTAGCTGAGTAGTTGTGTAAAGTTTGTGCTTCAATAAGGCATCAAGTGTTCCTGGCCATCCAATTTAAAGCTATATTAGCAGTGAATTAAAATGGTTTCTTGGAAGCACATGGCAACTAGAAACCCACTGAGACATCTATTGTCTAGGCTGGCTTCTACCTGAGTGAGGTGCTTGCATATCAGGATAGTTGCCTAAATCCTAGTTCTCCTTATCAAAGTTTCTTGGAGTAAATGTGTGTTTCATCGTTTTATATACACATGGGAAGTACTGCTGCATACACCATGCATCTGCAGCAGAGGAAAATAAACTACTGTTAACATCCTTTGACATTTCTTTTGTTGTTTTTGTTCCCATGAGTATTATGCCACTTTCTAGATAACACTGCTTTTATTTTTAATTGAAAAATTACAAAGACATAGTATTTGGAGCTGAGGTCTTAAAGTTTGAGATGTATTGCAAATACTAAGAATTCTACATTGTTAGCTGGCTAAAATTGGGACTGCTTATCTGAGCATTACTCTCCCAAATTTGCAGATGCAAAGGAGTTTGGATAAATAGACACCTCTTTGGTTTTGCCTTAGATGTTGCAAAATCAGAGTCCAGTCTCTGCTTTATTCTTCTCTGCTTAACTTTGCCCTTTCAGATTTTTTTAATAGTTTCATTTTTAAAAACATGTCAAGGTGTTTTGTCAGACAACTTGTTAAAATTAGTGAGAGTTGCTTTGTCTGTAACACTGTGTGTAGTATAAATCAGTGTTTCTCAGCCAGTGGTATGAATACCCTTAGCAGTACTCAAGAGACGTCTGGGAGGGGACGGCGGGGGGTACATCAACACAACTGAAATTTGAAGAAAACTCAATTTTTGTTTTAAGTTTTACAGTGTTTTATTATTTTTGTACTTCTACCCAAAAATTTCATTGCCTGCCTATGATTAAGTTGTTTAAACAAATGTGGTGCAATGGTAGAAGAAAAATTCTGAAATGTAGGTACTGGGGTTACCTTTTTTTTTTTTTAAAGGGTACTTTATAAAAAAAAAGGTTGAGAAACACTAGTGTAAATGAATGAATGTTTGTCCCAGATGTTACATATAGCTATTCTTAAAAAAAAAAAAAAAAAAAAAACCACCATGAGTACAATAGCATAACATATCTAAATGGCAAAATAGTTCATCCCTTCTGTCTTCGCAGCATTATTGTTTCTGTTTATTTTAACTATAGGCAAAATATTGGAATCCCAATATGCATGAGATTGAAGGCAGTGTCATGGACAGACATGGGAAAGTAGTACATCGGCTTTTTGGGAAATGGCATGAAAGTATATATTATGGGACCCCATCCTCACCAACCTGCATATGGCGAGCAAGTTAGTAAACAGTATAATCAACATGTGTGCAGAATGTAAATTTGCTTGAATGGATTTAACACCTGTGTTCATCCCTCATCACACATTAGGCCTAGACCGCTGCTTGTTGTTGAAAACAAATTTGCTGTTCTGCTTTTAGTATAAAACTGAGGAATCCTTCGCATCTTAGGGCACGTCTACACTGGGGAGTTATTTCAAAATAACTCCCCATATTTTGAAATAAGGCGAGCATCCACACTACCAAGCCTGTTTTGAAATAATGGGCTTGTTTTGAAAAAACTCCTGTTTGTGAAGAGGAATAACCTTATTTTGAAATAGTTAATTCAGGAGTTTTTATTTCGAAATAACTTCTTGTTTTGAAAAAATCTGGTAGTGCAGACATAGCCTTAGAGACTAACAGATTTATTAGGGCATAAGCTTTCACTGGTAAAACCCATTTCATCAGATGAATTAGTTACAGAGGCAGGAGTATATAGAAGGAAGAGATTGCTTGTGTTATGAAGCTAATCAAGTCAAGGTGGAAGTGGGTCATCCATACCATTTTGTCTGGAGATGTGAATATTCAGAAAGGGGAAATTACCTTTGTAATGAGTTAGCCAGTTGAGATCCTTATTTTAATGTGTAAAACTTAAAACTGAAAGGATAACTTGTATAACTAAATTTTTCAAATATTTACTTTTGGTGAAGAAATTGCTCATGGTTTTTTTTTTTTTGTTTGTTTAACTTTCTACCCTGTGTTTTCCCCTTACTTTGGGATCTCAATTCCACACTTGGGCAAGTGTTTATTTCTTTTTTTAAAAAAAAGAAATATTAATTTTCTGAAGATGTTTAATCAATACTTGTTCTTACAAATTAAGGATGAGTCCATAAAGAATCAGATTGCAGAAATGAACAAATATGAACTCCTACAAAGCTTGATGGTTTGCACCCATCTCTCATAAAATTAGTATCAAGCTATGAAGCCTGCTCTTCTGCAATATTGCAATGTATCAATTTTTGTTTTATTTTGACTAAGATTTCAGGAAGCTATTTGCGGTGGGTTGGGGTGAGCTATAAAGCCTTTGCATATTTAAAATAGCAGGACTTCATAAAAAAAGCCTAATTTTCCTTATTTTTGTGTGTTTCTTTTTAGATCCCATGCCTAAAGATTATGAGAAGTATTATGGATTTACACAGTTTGCATTAGAGTTAAATGAACTGGACCCACAGACAAGGCCATTCCTACCACCTACTGACACACGATTTAGACCAGACCAAAGGTAAAATGTTTTGCATATATATTTTCATACAGTATTCTTCACTCTTTATATAGTCACATTTTATTCCACACTTGGTCTGTTTACTATAGACTTTTTTGTTTACATTTTCCCATTTTTGCTAGGACCAGTACTGCTCCACTTACGCTAGCAATGGTTAAGAGCACTAATGTAGATCAGAAGTAAGCTTCTTAACCCCTTGTTCAGAGCAGTTATGGACCAGGATTTTCCAGTGTGATTTTTTTGGGGTGTCTTCATTTGAGGGGTCTAACTTTTGCAATCTTTGAAAGAATCTTGGTGGCTGGGGTTTTTTTCAGTGGACGAGCGCTTGGTATTCTCTGACAGCTAGGAACCTCTAAGAGGTTGCTATTTGTACCCCCAAAATTGAGACCCTGTCCTCAGGCCTGCCAAATGGGGTTGGTGGAGAACGGGGCAACTGCTCTAGGGCTGACCATTCTAAAATCCTGGCCGGGGCTCCTGTCCACACCTACTGCAGTAATGGCAGCAGCTGGAGCCCTGGGCCCTTTAAATCACCACCATAGCCCCACATGGTGGACTTTGGGCAGTGCTGAACGGCTGGGTGGTGGAGGCTAGCCTCTAGGCCTGCCCCTTCTGCTTGAGGTCCTGCCCCTTCCAAGGCACGGAGCCAGTCTCCCCCACATACCTTGCCATGGGAGTCCTGCAATTCTGACAGCCCCCCGATGGCCCTAAAATTTTAAAAATCTTAGCTATAGTGTTTAAAATGACAACAGCCATCAGTGCCTGAGTTGCCATGATAACTACAACTGGCAGGTGTACAAAAATAGGAAACTTTAAAGAGAGAACGAACCTCCTGAGATCCTTGCCATCCTTATATTTGCAGGATTCTATGAACGTTCTGGAGGGCCTCATCTGCTGTAGGTTATCTAGTTCACTGGTTCTCTACCAGGGTTATACGTATTCCTGGAGGGTACGCAGAGGTCTCTCGGGCACACAAATCCATCTAGATATTTGCCTAGTCTTACAAAAGGCTACATAAGAAGCACTAGTGAAGTTGGTACAAACCAAAATTTCATCCGGAGGGTGACTTGTTTATGCTGCTCTATATGCTATACACTGAAATGTAAGTACACTTTTACTCCTCACTGGATTATAATAATGAGGAGTAACGTTAGTTCAAACCAAGGGGTTTGGTTCAAACTAATGCGTCCTGCGTGCACTTTCACTTTCGAAACAGCTGGCATTCGGAGTAATGTGCCGGCGAGATCATGCTAATGAAGCACGGGATATTTAAATCCCCGCTTCATTGACTATTTCGAATGCCTGCATTTGCATCTCTAGTTCGAACTAGGGTGCAAGTGTAGACATACCCTTAGATATGATGCTCCTGGTAATATGTCCAAAATGACATTTGCCTTTTCACAACAGCATCATATTGCTCAATATGAGAGAGAGACAAGATAGATGAGGTAATCTTATTGAACTAACTTCTGTTGGTGGAAGGGACAAATCTGAGCTTCACTGGCTATCTTCCCTTAACTTGAAGGAAAACTAAGTGCCTGAGCTAACTAGAACAGGTTGGAACAGATTATTAAGCATAAAGGATTCTCACCTTCTGTGAAAAACCTCTTAAAATGAAGTAGGCAATTGAGGGTTAGTAGTCAGGACTGCTATACATTTGTTGTAAGAAACAATAAAAACCGTTTCACTCAGTCTGTGATGTTCAAAGTCTAGCAGTTAGTAATGTAGCACCCCGGCTTGTTTTTTGAAGGTGCTCTCTAGGTTTTCTTTGAGGATGAGGACTGATAAAACAGATACAGAGTGATCACTTTGTGAAAAGTTTTCATCCTGAGTGATATGAAGTGTTGTCTTTTATTGTGTTTGAGTGAAAACTCAATCAAGAATGTAATGATTGTCTGGTTACGACCACATAATAGTGGGCTGTTGGATGAACTAGAGGAGGTACACCACATGTATTGATCATCATAGCATTGGGGATATGTCTGCAGGCATTGCATCTATTGCACTGGAAGGATGGGCTATTACTTTGAGTTGGTGTGTCCTCGCCTGTGGGGAGTTTGCTTCTGATAATGAGCTTGGTGAGATCAGGTGGGGGGTTTGAAGGACACAAAACAGGGTTCGGGAAAGATTTCTTTCAGTATGTGGTCTCTATCAAGTATGGATTGTAAATGTTTACCACCATTCCGAAGCTTTGAGTCAATGGGAGGGCGTGTCAAAAGCAAAAAACAGAAGCACCAATAATCTTACAACTTGTACTGTAGGTTTCTAGAGGAAGGGAATATTGAAGGAGCTGAAATGCAGAAGCAGAGAATTGAACAGTTGCAGAGAGAACGGCGAAAGGTTTTAGAAGAAAACAACCTGGAGCATCATCCTAGATTTTTCAGGTACTATGTAATACAGGGCAGATATTGTATATTTATTGAAGCTTTTGTGTTACAGCATTGGCTTTGTACCACCATAGAGTAGGGACTAAGTATTTATTTCCATTAGTCAACTTTTACAATCCTTTTTTTTCTTTTTTTTTTTAACCTGGCCATACAAACTTTTAGACCATGTTCCATAGTGAACACATGGTCTAAAAGTATATGAAACTTGTGCTTTGTTTTAAATAGGGTAAAAATCTCTAGCAAGATCATTACCCAAATCTTAGATCAGATACGAATTATACTGATTTATCATTGATTCCTTGGATTTTCTGTCTTCTAAAATGGGTAAACCTGTCTTTTAAAAAAAGAATTTTAGAATAAGTGACCAGTCATAAATACTCTTTAATAAAGTTACATTGTAATCTCACCAGTTCAGGACCAGTCTGTATGTACAGTGTCTAATGCCATGGGCCCTAATCCTTAATTGAGGCCTTGAAGCACTACCACAGTAAAGATAAGGGCTACAAACTATTCTTGTAAGGAAGTTAAAGAATGCTTCACATTCATATCCTGGATCATTTAGGAAGACTATTCTTACAAGAGTTTCCAGGAAGTTGGCTGTGGACCATAAGATGAGGCAGAAGCCTAGAGCTTGATTTTTAAAAGTGCTGAGTACTTATCTTCCCGTAATGCAAACTATGGATGCATCAGCCCTATCAAAACCACGCAATTCAAGATCTAAAGGGGGCAAGGCTGGATTTTTGTGACACCCCCACCCGGTAATCGTTATCAGTCCCTTCAGAGTGTGGGCCTGGTGTGGCAGTGCTATAGTACACCTGAGTACTGAGTCTGAGGCATTTTTCACTTTGATCTCACACCTCTGCAAGAGTATATGTATTGCTGTATACCATTTCCGCTGCCCCTGGTTTTTCCTCATTGAGCTGTGAACCCATATAGGTTTATCAGTGTCCACAGTGAGCAGAAAGTTCATAATGATCAGGGGAAACTCCCCATAGGCTTACCTCCTTCCTTATCCAGTTATTCTATAGCCATGTCTCCTGGGCCACCCAATTTTACCAGTGTGGCCTGGATTCAGCTCTGAGTTCCGCAGTCAGCAGCTACTTGATCAATTCTAACACATCCCTACCCCAAGTATCCAGTTTGTCAGTGGAGATCTGGATCCATATTATAAGACTGTCCCACACAATGAGAAAAAGTTGAGGGGCTTCAGGTTTTTGTTGTTCCTTTGTCCCACTCTGTCTGAGGGGAAATCACCAATGCAATATTGCTGCTGCATTGTCCACCTAGTTCAACCAATTCCTTCTTTGGGGGCAGCGAACCGAGGCCACTACCACCCTAATCCAATCTGGGGAAGACTTCTGAGGTTGAGATCTGGGCCAGAGCTGCATAGTCCCCTGTGCACGCACCAGCCCCTTCTAGCAGCCAGCTGTCTGTTCACAGTGTGGCTCACCGCTTCCCATGTCCCTCTTCCTCCCTTTCCTATTGCTAGTGGCCAAGGAAATGCTAGGAAGTGTAGTCCCTTTCCTGCTCCAGGACCGGTTCTTTAGGTAGGGAGCTGGTCAAGGAACTACAGCTCCCAGAGTACCCTGGGCTTTCCATCATCAAACAGGGCCCTTCTGAACTTGGGTCTGGGTCCAGGGAACAATTGGCTCCAAAGGCAAATCCACCACTGTGTGGGGAGTGGAGGCAAGACCAAGAAACCAAAGGGCAGTAAAAGTACAAAAGTCTGCAGCAATGTATTCAGGAAACTATTATCTTTTGACAGGAAATCCACAGATGAATCCTGGGTGAGCAATGGAACATACATGGACCTTAGAAAAGACCCTGGTTTTTCCAAACTGGACAATCCTGTTCTATGGTGAAAGAGCAGCATAGAAGATGCTCCTCTGTATTTCTCTGATTTTGTGTGTGTGTATGTATGGATACTTCATATATTGTGTACCTTTCAGAATTGTGTTTAATTTAGAATATGACATCTATATTTTCTTCATTTGATTTCTTTACTACTTGATTGTTATCATGACTACCTGAATGTATAAAAACCCTGTTTTTATAAACTATTTAATAAAATAATCATTATAGAATGTTAATGACTGGGGAGGGGAGAAAAAAGAAGCTTTAACACTACTTTTCCAAAGGGTAATAATGCAAGTTCAGATTTACTTGATGCCTTATTGAATTACAAAGGAGAAAATATCAGCGTCTCTTGGCTGTGCTAAGAAACATGAATAGAAGCCATGGTTACTAAGAGGGCTACCACGCTGGGAATGAGTAGTTCAGCTGTCTCTTGCCTCAGACAGCTTTTAATTACTGAAACAAAGTGAGTCTGCTAGAGTCTGAGTAACTTTTTTTAAATTTTTTTTTCCTGTAGCAATTAAATAAATTCCTCTTTTTATTTATCATTATCATGAGGTAGTTGTGAGCTTGTATCCATAGTTCTACTGCCTTACTTACGATTGTATGCTACTACACATAACACTAGAAGATCAGGAATCCCCACCAAATCTTCTCACTGGAGTCTTTCCAAGTTATAACCTCCCTTCCCCCCAAAAGGGGTTGGTTAATGCTTGAGCACTGACCAGATGAGAGAATACCGTGTTCTCTTTTTCAGTAAGTAAAATCAACATGGAGCACAAAATCTTATGCTTCCATAGCTGGACTTCTTTTACTTACCTAAAAATCACAACAGGGACACTTTTTAGAAACATAGTAAATTATTGTGTTAAAGTAACAGATGTTTTTCTTAAATACTTTTTGATATATTCTACCTCTTATAATAAGCAACCTATTTAAGATCTTGTATTAAGAAAAAGACCATTTGCCTTATATTTACATGAATGGAATCTTTGATCTTCCTTTAACTGCTTGTTGTCTTCAGATCAATATTTGTCTTGCACTAAATTGGTTGTATCCTTTTCCATACTCTTTGTACATATAGGTAGCATTTTCATGCATATCAGAAGAATGTCTATCAACCTACAGCAGGAAAGAGATATATAGAAAATTGCACATTTGAATGGAGGTGGTGGGGTGTTCCCTCTCCCATGAAAATCAAAGTAATACGGTAGCATATGTAGCAAAACAAATTATACTCTCTCAAAGCAATTTACATTCCTCCCAAATTAGAACCTAAGTCTGCACACCTTCTAGGTCTATTGCATGCAAACCCTGTGTGAGACTGATAATATTGAATGGTTCCCACTGTTTTAAACTTGCAAAAAAATTAATTATTAATAGTTGTTTTGAGACTACAAGTTAAAACACAAGCGAGTCAAAAGTTGTTGCTACGTTTAGCCAAATTCTTACTTGTGTAAGTTGCAGTTGTGGGGAGATGAAGACTTGACATCAGCAGTGTTGAAAAACTTCCAATTTACTGTGTGCCGATGCAGACTTAAAGAAAACCCTTTAAACATTGGATCTGTTTACTGCAAGTTTATTGTATCATGTATAACATTAAGTTCTATAAAAGTTCCATTTTAAAATTGCTTTGTGATGTCAATTACATTTATTTAATTTTGCTTGGTAGCACCTTTTAAAAATCCACTGATTTCTTAGGCTCACCAGTTTGAAATAATTCATGTTCCGCTTGATGCAAAACTTGGGCTTTGTGACTAAACAGGAGAACGTATCCATTGGGCATGCGCCTTGTCCTCTGTAATAGCTATGAGGCATAGTGCATGGTTGAGCAAATTCTGTGGGACCTCCCCTTTGACAGGGGTAGGTCTGTTTGCTGAACAAACTGACTCTAGACTGCATAGCTTCAAAGACGCTAGGGCAACAATGTAACCCTTGAGTATGCGTGCCCCAGCCACCACAACAGCAGTCTTCCTCCGCCAAGGCAGGATGTGTACAGGCATGGGATAGGAATGGCAGGCGTCCCCCATTTGGACAGGATCAAGGCCTTACTAAGCCGTTGGGCTTGAAACAATCATTTTGAAGAGTGTGCCAAGGACTGAGCACTTGTCACAATAAGGGATCCTTCCCTATGTTTCTTGAACCATCTGTCCCACTACTACCATGCGTGGTACCAAATAACATCAGACCACTGGATTCTTCACTTGGCAGAAATGGGATACTCTCTCCAATTCTCCTTTTTCCTTTCCTCCTTCCCTGTCCTCCTTCAGGGACCCTTCTCTTGAGCAACTCCTTATCCAAGATGTGCAGGCACTCCTTGCTCTGGGAGCAATGGAGGAGGTTCCTCAGGAATTATGGGGCAAGGGGGGGTGTTCCCACTATTTCCAAATTCCCAAAGCCAGATGGGCTCTGTCCGATCTTAAACCTATGGGAACTCAACAAGTTCATGGTGAAGTGGAAGGTTCTGCATAGCGTCCCTCAGTAAAACCATTCCTCTCCGATCTGGGAGATTGGTTTGCCACCCTCAGCATGGAAGATGCATGCTTCTTCATAGTAATTTGAGCTGCACACAGATGCTTCCTGTAGCTTGTGGTCAAACAAACACATAGTAGTTCACGGTCCTCCCTTTCAGTCTGTGGGAAAAACTTGCAGATGATTGTGCGCACGGTGCACATGCACCTAATTGGAATGGAGATGAGCAACACATCTTGAACAACAGCTGAGTAACTTTTTCAGTGTCAGTTAGTAAGCATCACCCATTGCAATCTGTGACCATTGTACCTTCTGCATGCTGTCTTGTTTCCCAAATCCGTGTCAATGTTTAATGCATTAATAATCAAATGCACTCAAACGTAAGTTAAACAATCTACTGCTTTGGGCACCATTATGTAACTAACCTTTACAGCAGTATTTCTTAAACTTTTTAAGACCAAGGAACACCAAACAATTTTTTTTATGTGGAACACCAAGGATTTTTTGTTAAGCTAAAAAAAAGTTGCCTGCCCCTTTAAGGGCAGACATTTTGAACTCTGTTCTCCGCGGCACACCTCCGACTACCTCGAGGCACACCAGTGTGCCACAGAACACAATTTAAGAAACACTTATTTTCAGTATTACCAACCCTCTCAATTTTATCATGAGTCTGTATAGGAACATTTCTAGTTCTTATGATTGAGAGAGAAGATTCAAAAGATGAATGCCTAAAGGCTCAGATTTCCGAAGACTAACTCCAACCATGTCACTGTGTTTAAAACCGAGGTCTCTAATTCCCAGCCCCTGGGCCACCCCTGGCCGGAGTAGTTCCAGGTTAGACTGCACAATCACTCTGTCTGGGGATGGCCAATGGGCCGGAAGTTGGAGACCCCTGGGTTTTGATGTGGAGGTGTGGGGTGACCAATTATTTTCGGACACTGTTGGTTGGTAGGACTGTTTTGGGATTTGTTACCATTTAAAATCTTTAGTGTAGACCAGAGGTCCCAAAACTTTTTTCTTGTATAACTCCTGCCAGATCTACCAGCTGTCTAAATTCTCCTTCTCACCACTGATACTTTGGGTGGTGATCTTATAAACAGTATAGCTGTGTCTACACTTGCGCGATCTGGCGCAAAAGTGGCCGCTCTTGCGCAAAAACTTGCTGCCTGTCTACACTGGCTGCGTATTCTTGCGCAAGTAAACTTTCTAATGTATAAAATCAGGGCTTCTTGTGCAAGAACAATGGCGCTCCCGTTCAGGAATAAGCCCTCTTGCACAAGAGCTCTTCCAGAAGAGACGAGTGTAGACAGGCAACATGAATTTCTTGTGCAAGAAAGCCCTATGGTTAAAATGGCCATCAGAGCTTTCTTACGTAAGACAGCATCTACACTGGCATGGATGCTCTTGCGCAAAAGCACATGCCAGTGTAGACGCTCTCTTCTGGAAGAGTTTTTGCAGAAGAACTCTTCCACAAAAGAGTTTTTTGCGTAAGAATGCGCCAGTGTAGACATAGCCTATGTCTTTATCCATCTGTCCATATTTCACATACTGATAGTCCCGTCCCCCCACCACCACAGTATACATTGCACTTTAACTAAGTTCTGAACTCCATTAAACTGCACAGTTGTGGAGCAATTGAACCAGTGCTATATGATGATTGAGGTGAGGATTCTGTGTAACTGTGTTCTCATTGGTTCATCTTGAAGTAAATTTACCATATTTTATATAATCTATTCCCACAGTTTTAAAGCTTTGTCTGACTAGCCTATTGTAAAAATGCAATCAATAAAATCCTTCATTACATAGTTTCTCCTGTATCCAGGGATGTCTCACTTACCCCTGGAGGTGCATGTACTACAGTTGGAAAATCCCTGGGTAACTTAAGACCTAAGCTAATGCATTTTTGCCAATGATTCAGTACGCAGGCCTAATCCTTCACTCCTCACTCTGGCACAACTCCCAGATCAGGAAAGTGGGTTAATTTTGTTCAGTTCAAGTTGGTATGCTGTGGTACTGAAGGAAACCAGACTATTTCTTGTGCATTAAACCTGGCAATCCCTCCTTATTGCATGCTTCCCAGGTATGCAGCATGACCATGGGGAAAGTAAAGCTACTGATAAAGGTAGAGCTGTGGCAAGTCTCTTAGGCCATATTCCCACTGCAAAAGATATACATTTAGTCGACTATATTCAGATCTGGAAGAAAAATGCCTTGAAAACTGTGTGTGTGTGTGTGTGTGTGTGTGTGTGTGTGTGTGTGTGTGTGAGCAGTTACTCATGGCAAGACGAACACACAATTCACACCAGCCCCCTGAAGGGTATAGTGTAGTTTTTCTTTTTAATGACTAACATTTTGTTTAATTTAGATTTGTATGTAGCCACACTCCCTCCCTGCAGAATATTGGTTCGTTCTTTTATATTGTCCATTTTTTTAAAAAAACCTGTATTGAAATGGCAAGGCCCTTACAGCCCACAAAACCAAGGCAGCTGTTAAACTAAAACATGCATCCTCTGTTCTTGGGCTTGCATATCTGATGAGGTACCGAAAGGGATTATGGCTTCTGCAGCTGTCTGAAGCTACTTCTCTTAGTGGTGTGATTTTTTTTTTTTTTTTTTTTTTGAACATAAGAACTGATTTTGTTTCCTAATTAGAATCTGTTGAAATTTGGCCACGGCAGATCTTCTTATTTCTGGGGTGGACTTGTGGAATACTGGGTCACATCTTGAGAAACAACCAACTCCTGTCTGAAGTGACTATGAGCTTCTCTGAAGATGGATGAAAAGGTTAGATGAGTTTTAGCCATTTAGTCTCAATGAATGGATTAATTTTAATTAAAACTTGGCTTCCTGCTGCAGAAGTAGCTCCCAACCACTCATGCTGGATCTCTGTTTATGGGCACTACCCAACAAGGTAGGGGTGTAATGCCCCGGCTTGCATTCATATTTACACCACCTCTTATCGAGCTAGTGTATCTAAACAGTAATGTATCTGCCAAAGTATAGGTAGTAGCAGCAGAGCAAGTAGAGTCCCTGGTTTCAGGCAAGTTTGTATTCAGTAAGGCTAAGCCATGCCTCTACTGCTGATATCTTCGTTTAACTTTTTGCTGAAACTCTTTAGAAACTAGAGTTAGAAACTATTTTTTCTCCCATATGGGAGGGAGTGTGGTTACAGAGTCTCACAAGACCTAAAGCTCATCTCTAGTTTCACCTAAAATAGTATTGGCTATAGTGTTTGAGAAGCCTGCATATTACATCCCCTGGCCAGTTTATCATGCTCCTGTAGTTGTTTCCAATGGGTAGCTGGATTTTTCAACTATTTAAATGCCCCCAAATCTACTTTTGTGTCCCCTTTTCACGTTTAAAATAAAAACATGTCACTATTAATGAGTGCAAATAAAGACCAGATAAACACTGCTATGTTGATAAATTATTGAATATTAATTCCATAATTTACATCCATATATATTAACACTCTTCATGTATATATTGGGTATAGAGTGATTGCTGTTTGCCAAATGTGGCAATGAATTTCTATTCTCCGTATCTCTGTGCATGCAAATGCTGCCTTTTTAAGGATGACTATTTTAAGCTGAGATGTAGCGCTGGAAGGGAGGGAGTAAGTTTAAAGAATGATTCACCTGAGGCAGGTTCATAGTCTTGTATTTATTTAACAATGTGTAATGTAGAAAATGTTCAGGCCCCCCCCCCCCCCCCCCCCAAATACACTTTAATTTGTGGTTCTTGATAAATTATCAACTAGAAGTTCATTCACACTTGTGTTGTGACACCCCAGAATTTCAACATCTTACTTTTCAGTGGTACAACCTTAATCATGTAGCATTTAGTTCCGTAGCTATTACCCCACAAATACCTGCCTTCAGGTGGGGCAATAGAGCAACTAGAATGTAACTGGAAAAAGGGTCATTTTTGCTGATTTTATTAAATTATTTTTAATGAAACCTGTAAATTGGCAACGTAACAGCAGCATTGGAGTGTTTTCATATATATATGGGTAGTTCTACTTTACAATTTGTTTTCAAGGGAGTGAAAAAGTTGGCCCAAAAATGGCACATGTAAACTGACCACTTAGAATAACACCAAACAAAGAAGTTTGAAGTAAGACTCTTCCAGCTTAGCACTTCTACAGGCATATTACAAAG